TGACAAGATCCCTGGTGGCACCAGCACGGAGAGAGGTCAGGAGGGTGAGACAGGGTGTCAGCCTTCGAGGGGACTCGGTGGGTGAAGACACTTGCACCAAGCCTGACGACATGAGTTAGATATCTGACCCCACATGGCAGAAGGAGAGAACTGTCTCCCATAAGTTGCCCATCCTCTGATACATGTGCTACAGTTCATATATGCTTGCGATACGCACACACATAAATAATAAGTAAACGCAGCAAGAAGTCAGAATTCAGATGGTACCCAGGGCCCTCAAATTATGACAAAGAAAGATGAGGCTCTGGACACCAAAACCTGGGCAGAGATGAGGGTTCCAGGGGCTTTTCTGAGAGGAAGTGGCCAGGACCTAGTGATGAGATGGGTTGTTTTGTTTGTTTGTTTCAGTTGTAAATTGTAATTCCCTGAACTTGGATGCTAGGAAAACTCCAAGTTCCTCATGGATTCCAATGCCTAGTTTAGTCTCAAGACTGCAGTTCACAGTGAAATGTTCCCTTCTGGCTGTCTCAGTCCTCAGAGCTGTGTCCTTGGGCTCCTGTGTGAGTCTTGTGAGAAGATGACATGGTGACACTCATTACAGCCTCAGCTCCAAGCTTCTCTTGTCATGGATGCGCCTTGGGTCTCTTTCATTCTGCCCTCTTAGATTCTGTGGCTAAACCTTAGAGTTAAAGCAATGTAGGAAGATTAGCAGGGAGAATGTGCATTTCACATGTGTGCAAACCATCTTCAGAAAGAGAATGAAGGCCCAATGAAGCTGCCTGGAACCCAAACTAATACAGATGCTATAGAAAGAACTATAAACTGGAGATATGACCAGAGAGCTTGTTCAGGGCAGGGCAGAGTGAGATGGTGCTTAAGGATCCACAGAAGTACAAGATGTTGTGTGTATGGATCTCAGTCCACTTCTGGTCTCATACACTAACACTGTTCTCTTGGCTCTGAAGAGTACCTTCCTCATGGGAAGTTAGCTGACTACTTTAAGTAAATGAGGAGGATAGTCCTTCTTGGAACTGTTTGTCCAGTGCCTTTGGCTCAAAATAATCAGTGTTATTTACCATTCAGTGTTATCTGAGGTTTCTGTCCTTCTTGGTTCCTGCAGTGTCCCAAAGAAATCACACAGAGGTCTACATTAATAATAAACTAATTGGCCCATTAGCTCAGGCTTCTTATTAACTCTTATAACTTACATTAGCCCATTATTCTTATCTGTGTTAGCCACATGGCTCAGTACCTTTTTGAGAGGCGTAGTCACATCTTGCTTCTTCTGTGTCTGGACAGGACTGCAGAGGGAGCTTCCCTCTTCCTAGAATTCTCCTGTTCTCATTGATCCACCTGTACTTCCTGTCTGGTTGTCCCGCCTATACTTGCTGCCTGGCTACTGGCCAATCAGAGTTTATTTAAAATATAATTGACAGAATACAGACTATGGTCCCACACCAGTCAGTGTCTGCAGGGAATGAGTTTCAAAAACCCACCCCTTCAGATATCAAAATTTGCAGATGCTCAGTTGCTGGTATAAAATAGCATGCATGGTATTCATGTAACCTATGCACATCTGTGTAACCTCCACACATTATTCGTGTACTTTAAATCACCCCACACCACTGAGTATCTAATATAAATGCTGTTTAAGTTGTTACACTGTATCACTTAGGAAACAGTGGTAAGAGCAAGCCTGGGCATACTCACTGCAGACACTGTCGTTTTCCTGAGTGATCTCAAACATAGGAGCCTGTGGGTACAGGGCTAGCTGTGTGAGGCTGAAGGTTCTGAGCCCTCCGCTCCCAAAGCCCTGCTTGTCAAACCAACTCTCATGCAAATGCTGGGATGCTCTGTCTTCCTCTTATAATATTTTATTTTTAGTTATTACATTAGAGAAAATGACTCTACAAATTTGCTGTTAACTTTTTTCCGAAAGGTTAGGGTTTAAGGCAAAGGGGAAGAGGAAGGATTTAGAAATTTTCCAACCCTCACAAGTCCTTCCTTCGGAAGGGGAGGAATTGGATTGGGCTGAATCTCTGAGTCTCCCTCCAGGCAGTATAGCAAGATTCAGAAGTTAATATAAGGGATAGGACTACAAATGTTTGCTGTATGTAATTGGTTTGATGATGTATCTTAATCTAGAATAGACCTTTAAACTTACTTCCAAGATTGTTTTAAGTTTGCATTCTTAGTATAATAAAATTAAATGTGTTTGGTTTTAAATCAGGCAGACTCGGGCACACATACTACCTCTGTCTTCCTGGCTTGTGACCTTAGCATTTCTGAGTATGATTCCTTTTCATTTTTTGTCCATACTTAATTAAGATCATTAACCTCTTCCTGTCCATGGCACCGAGGGTAGTGCTTTGAGAGGCAGTGGGCAAACCATGAGTTGTGGCTGCCCATGGCTCTACCGCTCCAACCTTTGGCCACATTCTCTCTCTGAGGATGGAGGACAGTTTCCTGGTCAGACCTATCTAGGACAATAGTCCAGCAAGGCTGTGTACAAGGGTCCAGGCAGCCCTGTCGGGTCAGGAAGAGGAGGGGGCACGAAACACATCAACATGCCTCTTCGCCCCCACTGACTGCCTCTTCTTCAGTCCGCTCCAGTGATCCAGGAACTCCAGCCCCTGTGGGCACCTGTCAGAGCAGATGAGGCATGTGAGTGTATGGTCTTGGTGCTTCAAGACTGGAGCAAGGAACCACAGGCCAAAGTGGCCTGCTGAGAGGGTCGCTCATAATCCCTCATTGCTGGGTCCCTCAATTCCTATGTTCCAGCTGGGGACTGCCATCCATACAGCTAAAATTGCTGTGTGTTGTTAAGGGGAGGGGTCCTCTCTAGGTTCAGAGCATACAGGGGACCCTAAATCTAAAGCATGAACCCAGACCAAAAGGGGTCAAGAGCTCTGGTTCCCCTTTCCTCCCTCCGTCCCAGTACATCCACCCTCCATGGGTTTTTGATGAATCAGTTGCACAGGCGCCATCTTCGTGATCCTTCTCGGTTGCCCACATCTCCCTAAAGGAGTCCAGTAAGGAGGGGATGGAGCTACCAGTCCATGTGGACGGACTACGACCATTCTAGAGGAGCTGAGATCTTGCCCTTTGAGGCAAACTTCTTCACTCTACTTAGTAACTGGTCTTGAAAGCCTTTAAGTGTTGAGACTGTGGAAGCACAATATTGGAGGACAGCATCTGGTAATGTCCATCCAGCACTGCACAGATCCTCATCACCCATCAAGTCTGACTGGAACGTGCACAGGCCCCACATCAAGAGAACTGCAAGTGGACAGTGTATATTATATATTCTCAGTTTCTAAAGCAGTGGTTCTCAACCTGTGAGTCATGGCCCTTTGGGACGGTCGAATGACCCTTTCACACGGGTTGCTTAAGACCATTGAAAAACATAGATATTTGCTTTATCAGAACAGTATCAAAATTAGTTATGAAGAATCAACAAAAGCAATGTAATGGTTGGGGTCACCACAACACGAGGAACTGTATTAATAGGTTACAGAAGGTTGAGAACGACTACCCGGGAACATTCTGTGAGCTGATGGATAGATAGCAGGTTTGCTCTTTGGTGGTCTGGACAACCTCAAACTCAGCGAAGGCGTGGAAGTCAACCCTTTCCTTGTGTAGCAGCAGCCACAGATAGCATGAGATGTCACGGCCTGCTATGTCCACCTGCATCGTGGAGTTTGCCGTGGCAATGCTCTCATAGATAGGGACAGCATGAGTGACCCTATCCCCTGGAGTCTAAAGCCACTGCTGTTTTGTGTCTTGTTGCATCCGGGCTGAGCACAGCCCACATGGAGATAAACAGGGCAGGAACATTGAAAGTCTCAGCACCTCGGCTGTCTTCTCCCGTTCCTACTGGGTTTAGCAGTGCTCTCTAGAGAGGCCATACTGCCAGGTGCACTGTTCCAGTCCTAAATCCCAGTGTGCTCCATGTGAGCACACGGCCAGTAGCCCCTGTGTGTCTCTTCTTTTGGTCCGATGAAGAGGACCCCCTCCGGGGCTTCAGCCATGAGCCTAGTGTGAAAACAGTACTTAGAAATCTGTCTCCTGGAAGACTAGCCTTGATCACTCCGGAACCATTGCTGCTGACCATGGGAGGGTTGGCAATGATGTCATAGGAAGTGTAAGGACTGCAGCAACCTTGGCTCAAAGTCGCAGGCCAATGAGCTGTTCATTGTGTGATCACCCAGTGAGTGATCTCAGAACCGGAGTGCAAGACAAACTCAACTAAGATGGAGAATAAGGAGAGCAGAGGGGGCGGAGCCTACTTATACAGACCTTCTGAGGAGCAGGGACATGCATAGACATATATAAGATGAAAAGCTTTTATGCCAGGACATAGGATAGAATGTGCCAGACAGGTTGTTATGGTCTGAGACAGGTCCTGAGGTGGGTATGTATTTGATTGGTGTTATTGCCAGCAACCTGGTTTCTGGAAGGCTGTGAGCCTGGTGGATTCTGTGGGACAATCTCCCAGAAACCCTGAAAGCCAAGTTTGAAACACTCTAGGGTTGAATTACGTTGCTTTCTCATCTTAAAAACAGAAAGAGGAGCTGGAAATATGGCTGTCAGTCAGTGTCTTTCTTGAAAGCTTGAGGACCTGCACTCAGAACCCTCTGACCCACAGAAAGGCTGGGTGCCATGGTCCAGAGCTGTCTTAGTAGGGCTCCTCGCTGTGAGAAAACACCACGACCATAGGCAACTCGGGGAGGAAAGGATTCATTCCATATTGTCATCTAGGTACAATGCAGTATTGAGGGAAGTCAGGGCGGGAACCTGGAGGCGGGAGCTGATGCAGAGGCCATGGAGGGGTGCTGCTTGCTCAGCCTGCTTTCTCGTACACCCCAGGACCGCCTGCCTGGGGTGGCACCACCTGGAATAGGCAACAACACCCCAGGCTTGCCCACAGGCCACTGTGGTAGGGGAAGCAGGAATTCCACCCAGCACAGCGGCCTCTCTGACAGTCTCTTTCTTTGTAGGTTGTGACTGTAACCTGGAAGGTGTTCTCCCAGAGATATGTGACGACCATGGCAGGTGCCTGTGCCGCCCTGGGGTTGAGGGTCCCCGGTGTGATTCCTGCCGCACAGGCTCATATTCATTCCCTATATGCCAAGGTGAGTGGGTAACACAGAAACGCTGGCCCCCAGTTTCCCAGGTTGGATTTCTCCTGAGGAAGCGCAGACAAACTTTCTGGAAGATCAGCATGGCCTGTGGTTTAAGCAGCTACCCCGCCTTCTACAGATGTGACATTTCTCTGTCCTCTGAGACCATCTCTTGTTCTTTCCTTTCTCCTCTCTGGAAGCCAGGTGCTGGGCTGGCAGTCAGCTCACTGGGTTCAAGTCCTGGCTCTCAAGAGTGGAGTTGTGAGTTTAGGAACCTGCCCAGTGGACAGAAGGAGGCAGAGATAACAGCACCACCAGGCTGGATGTCTCAGTAGTCCCAGTCTGGTGCTGAGATCCTGGAGTATTTCTTCTCCTTCTTCTGGGTTAGGGTGTTCAAGTCTTCCTGTTGCGTGTTCGCAGGATTCTGGTGTTACCATGTGCTGTTCAGGATGTTGTAGGAATTCTTGCATTGGTGCCTGCCCATCTTTTCCTTCAAATGAGGCCAGCAGAGTCTTGGTCCAATCTTTGCTATGGCTGACTGTGTTTTTCTTGGTCTGCCCTCTCTTAGGTCCCCTCAGCACTGGAGCAGGCTCTCAGATCCCCTCCACCCTGAAGCCGGCTGGGTTGGGGGATCCAAGGACCTTGCAGAGGAAAAGGGGTGCTTGGGAGCAGGGTGGAATGGGGTAAAGAAGCCAACAGCAGGGAATACACCCCGCTGGATGACCAGAAAAGCTTAGGGAATTGGAGGGGGCCTGGATTCACTTCCCCTGGCCCTATCTGAGGGGTAATGTCCAGGACACTGCCCTGTGCTCTTTATACCTCATGCCTAAGTCTGATCAAGCTATTTCCCACAGCCTGCCAGTGTTCGACTATTGGATCCTATCCGGTCCCCTGTGACCCGGTGACTGGCCAGTGTGAATGCCTGCCTGGAATAACAGGAAGGCAGTGTGACAGGTGTCTCTCGGGAGCCTATGACTTCCCTTACTGCCAAGGTAAGGAAAGTAAGAAAAGGGAAAGACCCAGAGGCAAGGGGTAGATGGAGTAACTTAGAAAAGCCAGCTAGAAACAAGCCAGGCTAAGACTGGGTATTCATAAGTATTAATAGGTCTCTCTGTGTGTGATTTATTTGGGAGCTGGGTGGTGGACCCCTCAAAGACCAAAGGGCAAAGGAGTAAAAACAAAATAAAACAACAAAACAATAACAACAAAAACAAAAAACAGGAACATCATGAGGAACTGAGGCATACTTGGCAAAGAGAAAAGGAAAGCAAAAAGCTAAGGGGCCCTTTGTAAGGAATGCTATAGGATCCTGTTACCCACATGCTCCAATGGCGATAACCAGCCTCAGAAGTGGGACCAACCAGGCTGCTGCCAGTGTAATAGGGAGATGTTGCAAATGCTCAGCTATAGCCTCTGCAGGCATCACCAAGAACTTCAGTACACAGGGGTGTTATTCTCTTAAAGATGAGGGTGACCCAGAAGCCTCTGAGGAGCCACAGCGGGTTACCCGAGGGAGCATCGTCCCCTGAGAGCAGCCATGGTGAAGGGCAGCCAGTCCCACCACCTGAGGCCTCAGCAGGTCCCAGGTGGGTGAGAGACAGACAGATACACCATGCAGAGAGAGAGATTGGGTATATAGTTTATTTACTGGGTTATGAAGGGGAAGGGGAAAGGGGGAGCTGGGGATGGGGGAGGGGGAGGAAGGCAGCAGCCACTTCTTCAGGAGAGGGGAGAGAGAGAGAGAGAGAGAGAGAGAGAGAGAGAGAGAGAGAGAGAGAGAGAGAAAGGAGCGCTAGCAGGCTGGAGGAGATCAGCTTTCCTGGCAGAAGGGGAGGTTTGGGAGTGGGCGGGGTTTGTCTCTTAAAGGGACAGGGTACCCATGAGACAGGAGAGGCCAATACACCATAACAATGGGGAGAGGGGTAACGGGGTAATAATAATCAGTTCTCTCTCGGTTACAAAATGAAGTTAGAAATCCTGTAACTTCTTTTGATGGACATTTTATTTTTAATTTTAAAAAGAGGTGCAATATCACCCTCTTCTGGATAATTCTAGAGATGCTGAAAATCTCAGTCTTTCCTAACCGCCTGCTAGGAAGGAATCTTTGTAGGGAAGTGGGGGAGGAGCTTGGAGGAGCTGGGTGAGGGAGAGATTATAATCAAAATATTGCATGCAATTTTCAAAAACAAGTTAAAATATATCTTAAAAACGAAGTATAGGAAACATTAAAGAAAGGAAGGGAGTTGTGTTCCCTGGCAGGGCAGAGTGACCCTGCAGGAGTCACTACAGACAACTATAGAGACCCTGGCTGTGCCTCAGTGAAAGTCACATCAAGTTTTGCCGCTTCCACAATAAAAACTTAAATGTAGGTGCACTTTTAAAAAGGCAAAATTAAGGTTTTCTTGAAGTATAGTGTCAAAACCATCAGCCAGCCACGTGTATCATTTCTGAATCATATACAGGGCCCGGCAGTATTTGTGACCCAGCTGGGACCGTTGACTCCAACTTGGTAAGTACGGGCATCTACGTGAAAGGTCAAGACTAACCACGTGGAAAATTCCTGGAATTAATATAAGACACAGATCCACATTGCCTAAAGAGATCATGGCTCTTTTTCAAGATGCATATGTAGTTCATGAGGTTTTTGTTTGTTTATTTGGTTTTGGTTTTTTTTTTTCTTCAAGGCAGGGTTTCTGTGTAGCTTTGGAGCCTGTCCTAGAACTAACTCTTGTAGACCAGGCTGACCTTGAACTTATAGAGATCTGTCTGCCCATGAGGTACTTTTTTAAACAAAAGAATAAGGTTTACTTAGATTTTGTATCCTAGAGTCCAAGAGTTAGCTCTTCTGGAGGTTTCTGTGAGGGTGCCATCAGGAAGAGCACCCAGACTCAATCACTGGCCAAGAACTTGTGACGTAAAGCTGTCCATCCCGCAAACTATCACGTAGTCTCTCTTTTATTCTAAGCACGTGCTGTGGTACTGTGAACGGTTTCCTAAGATCCTGGGACTTCCCTGCCTTTGTGGCCTCACAACTATGGACCACAAGGGACGCAAGGGCTGCTGCTGCTCCTGCTGTGTCTTTGCTGGCGCTGAAGCCACTCTCACAAGAGCGGTCATAGCATCCGTCTTCCTGTGAGACGCCCCTAGAGCGCAGCAGCGTGTTTGTGTGTGCGCGCACATGCGTGCGTATGTGTGCATGTTAGGTATATGTACTGGTTAGAGGGCAACCTCAGATGTCGGTCCTCAGGGATCATCCACCGCCTTCTTTGAGGCAGGCCTCTCACCGGCTTATAGTTCACCAAGCAAGCTAGACTGCTGGCCAGTGGGTTCCAAGATGTTTGGCTTTCTAAATGTGGGTTCTGGGGATCAAACTTGGGCCCTCACACCTACAAGAAAAACATTTTAGTGACTGAGCCTTGTTCTCAGATATAACAATGTTTTAGACAAGAGAGATCTTCAGATTTTCCCTTCTCTGTGTTTTCTGACTGCTTTTAACCACATTTGTTGGTTACTCGTGTAAAATGCCAAGTGTGCACTGAAAAAGTCCAGAGGCTGGAGAGATGACCCCGAGTTAAGAACATTTACTGCTCTTACAAAGGGGATTCTTCAGTTCCCATCACCACGTGGTGACTTACAGCCATCATTAGCTCCAGTTTCACGAGGTGCCTACTCCTGGCCTCCTTGGGCACCAGGCACACAGTGCACATATCTACATGCAGGTAAAGCACTCCAATGTATCAAATAAAAACAAACCTTTCTTTAAGCTCAGAAGACTAAAGCAACCTTGTGCTTTTGTCACTCCCTTGACTTATCTTTCAAAGTCCAAATTGATTTTGGTGACAAAGCTTTGCTCAAGAACACATATTTGAAACAGGTCTTGGTTTCAAGATGCCAAATGTCAGTTTGATCTTCATTTCAAGGGTTATTGCCAGTGCAAGCTTCATGTTGCAAGTCCTACGTGTAGTGTCTGCAAGCCATTATATTGGAATCTGGCCAAAGAAAATCCCAGCGGATGCTCAGGTCAGCTGTCTCATATTCCACCCCATCCTGCCATGCCATTGCCTCTTTATTTCTGCCTTCTTTTGCCCATGTTGACAAAAGAGCATTTTGTTAAACTGATTTGTTCAACATGTTGACTATGCTTTAGTGCTCACCTCTGTTCAGAGCATAACTGACATTTTCAGACAGAGATTTGCTATTCTATTTGAGTTTTGTCATTGTGAAGGCAGCCATTTGATAAATGCCTGTGACCTCTTTGTTTTTATAAACCACTCTTTCTGGTTTAATTTTACACACATTGCATATTCCTACTGAACCTTTATTTTGTACAATTTATTAAAGCCAGGATACCAAGATTAAAACGCATAATAAAAGGTCTAAGTGAAATGACTATTTTAGGGTAGAGTGTGTTTTTATGTAGGCGTGTCAATAATGACCTTGACATTGGGAACCTTTATAAACTCTTTGTGCTGGAGTAACCAGAAGCAATACTGTTTTAGACTCCAGCACAGCAGGTTGGATGCTTCTTAGGTCCACAGGGAAGTCCAAGCCCCTGAGTTGTATTGTAGGCACGTGGCATCCCTAGAGTCAGGGAACTGTTCCTGTAAGATCCCCAGCTCATAGACACTCTCTTACCTTCACAGAATGTCAGTGCCACGAGGCAGGGACCGTGAGTGGAATCGGAGAGTGTGGGCAGGTAACGTGGCCAGTTTGTCATGAGATGTCTGTAGGATACTGCTGAGATTGACTGTGGGATTCCTGGAGGATGATGCTGTGATTGGCTGTGGGATTCCTGGTGGAGGATGCCGAGGTTGACTGTGGGATTCCTGGAGGAGGATGCTGAGGTTGACTGTGGGATTCCTGGTGGAGGATGCCGAGGTTGACTGTGGGATTCCTGGAGGATGCTGCTGTGGTTGGCTGTGGGATTCCTGAAGGAGGATGCTGTGGTTGACTGTGGGATTCCTGGAGGAGGATGCTGTGGTTGACTGTGAGATTCTTGGAGGATGATGCTGTGGTTGACTGTGAGATTCCTGGAGGATGCTGAGGTTGGCTGTGGGATTCCTGGTGGAGGATGCCGAGGTTGACTGTGGGATTCCTGGAGGATGATGCTGTGGTTGGCTGTGGGATTCCTGAAGGAGGATGCTGTGGTTGACTGTGGGATTCCTGGAGGAGGATGCCAAGTTGACTGTGGGATTCCTGGAGGAGGATGCTGAGGTTGACTGTGGGGTTCCTGGAGGCGGATTCTGAGGTTGACTGTGGGATTCCTGGAGGAGGAGGATGCTGAGGTTGACTGTGGGATTCCTGGAGGAGGATGCTGAGGTTGACTGTGGGATTTCTGGAGGAGGATGCTGAGGTTGACTGTGGGATTCCTGGAGGAGGAGGATGCTGAGGTTGACTGTGGGATTCCTGGAGGAGGATGCTGAGGTTGACTGTGGGATTCCTGGAGGAGGATGCTGAGGTTGACTGTGGGATTTCTGGAGGAGGATGCTGCTGAGGTTGACTGTGGGATTTCTGGAGGAGGATGCTGCTGAGGTTGACTGTGGGATTCCTGGAGGAGGAGGATGCTGAGGTTGACTGTGGGGTTCCTGGAGGAGGATTCTGAGGTTGACTGTGGGATTCCTGGAGGAGGATGCCGAGGTTGACTGTGGGATTTCTGGAGGATGCTGCTGAGGTTGGCTGTGGGATTCCTGGAGGAGGATGCTGAGGTTGACTGTGGGATTTCTGGAGGAGGATGCTGAGGTTGACTGTGGGATTCCTGGAGGAGGATGCTGAGGTTGACTGTGGGGTTCCTGGAGGAGGAGGATGCTGAGGTTGACTGTGGGATTTCTGGAGGATGCTGTGGTTGACTGTGGGATTCCTTGCTGTGAGATATCTGGAGGAGGGTACCAGTCCCTCACCAGTCATACTGGCCCTGGGCATACTTTTCCAGTCCTGGCTACATTGCTTCCTATTGTATGCTGAGGCAGTTTCCTAACCTGAAGGTTAGTAAGTCCTACACACCAAATGCTGCCACCTGGCTCGTTTGTTCTGCAGGAAGATGGTGACTGCAGCTGCAAAGCTCATGTCACTGGTGATGCCTGTGACACCTGCGAAGATGGATATTTTGCTTTGAAGAAGAGCAATTACTTTGGTTGTCAAGGTAAATATGTACTGCAGGGTACGAGCAAGGCTGAGTGCAGAGGACAAATGCCTGACCGCACCTGACTTCAGGGATGGTACCAGGCATTCTGTCTTGAGAATTTGAGCAAATATTCAGTTGATACTTGCAGTGAGCCTCAAACAGTGCGATTCCCACTTCTCTGTTATCAAAACATTGTAGGTTCAATTCTAAAATACCCACATGGGATAGAGGGCACATGCTAATATTAACTGACACCAAGAGCTAGTCACCTTGAGACTATGTTTCATATTATCTAAAAACCAGATACTTAGTTATAGGGTATTAAATAATAAAATTTTAGAAGTGGCTGACCTTGCAAGGTTGCTCCCAACTTCCACACATGGACTTTATTACAAACTGGCTCTTGTAGACCAGGCTGGCCTCGAACTCACAGAGATCTGCCTGCCTCTGCCTCCCCAGTGCTGGAATTAAAGGCGTGCGCCACCACCACCTGACAGTGCTGCTCCTTTACGTGTGTGTTCATGTTCCTGGATGTGTGTGCCTCTGTGTATGGAGGCCTGAGGTCCATGTTAGCCATCCCCTAGTTATCTCCACCTTACTTTTTAAGAGAGGGTCTCTACCACACCTGGCGCTTGCTAGCCTGGCTAACCCTGATCCCAGGGATCCTCCTGTCTCTGGACCCTCAGCACCGCCACTCTTTCCATGTCTGTGTGGGAAGCACTTGACTGACTGATCTCTCTTCCTTTCCACATCTGTGTGGGAAGCACTTCACTGACTGATCTCTCTTCCTTTCCACGTCTGTGTGGGAAGCACTTCACTGACTGATCCCTCTTCCCCTCCACATCTGTGTGAGAAGCACTTCACTGACTGATCTTTCTTCCTTTCCACAACTGTGTGGGAAGCACTTCACTGACTGATCCCTCTTCCCCTCCACATCTGTGTGAGAAGCACTTCACTGACTGATCCCTCTTCCCCTCCACATCTGTGTGAGAAGCACTTCACTGACTAATCCCCTTCCCAGGCTACTTAACCATGTGTAGTCCTGGGCTCATCTTCCATGGGACAACAGCACACCCACCTGCTGGCCTATAGTCACACATATTGAAATTAAAGATAGGCCTTTGAGGGGGCAGGCCATTTTTGTTTGGGACATGCCTGCCTGATGTAAGGTAAGGCAGATGAAGAAAGCAGCCATCTCAGGGCTGAGAACATCAGAGCTGTCTTCACGGGGAGGGAAACTTCTGGCAGGGACAGAGTTTGGTAGTAACCCAGCTGTTCCTTGACTTGCAGGGTGCCAGTGTGACATTGGTGGATCGCTCACCACCATGTGCAGTGGGTCCTCAGGAGAATGCCAGTGTCGAGAGCATGTCGTGGGGAGAAAGTGCCAGCGGTGAGTTTGGGGAGTTTCTTCAAACACTCACATTGCTGGGGCCAGCGCACACTCCTGGGGTAGAGGGGCGAGGACCAATCCCAAGGAGGCCGAAGACGCTGTGGATATAACTAGAGCCTGGACATGTGACCGTGAGCTAATTAGAACAGGAGTTCAGGATGCCCATCACAACCAGTTCTACGGCATAAGCCATGAAGTCCATGCATCCCCAAGTCCAGGCTTGAGGTGAACAGTGTGCACCGTGCCCGCAGGAGGCTGAAACCTCTACAAGTCACAGCATGGAGGCTACAGACACAAAGGGCCCGGTTTCTGGACCCCTGACATCAATCAGTTCCTGTCTCCCTTGAGTAGAGAGTGAAGTCTGGAGATTAGAACAAGGCGGTGGGGAAAGACATGAAACAGGAAGAACGGGGAAGGAGGGCTAAAGTCAAAACCAAGAGGGACAAGGACCCAGAGGTGGGGAGCGTATGCAGATGAGTCTCTGGGTGTGATAATCCTACTGTAAGATCTTCCTCAGTGGAAGTTGGAGAAATTGAAATCTAAACTCTTTGACTCTCAGTCATATGCCTGAACAACAAGAAAGGCAAGGTTTTCAAAACCTCAGGCTCCTGTCTGCCTGCTTCCTTAGCAGTTGCGGGGACCGTCTCTCGCCACCTGGCACTCGTACATGCAGAAGACAGGAGAAAATACTACAGCCCAAGGGTTACTGCCCACAGATAAGATCATTGCCTCTCACATGAGAGCACATGGGATTTAGAATACAGTCTTTGATATGACAGTAAATGAAAACTACACTAAAGTCTGATAAGCCAGCGATGTGTGTGACAGAATGGTGCTGCCCAGATGGGCAAACCTCGTGTCCTTCCTCAGTACTAAATCTTCAAAACATTAGCTCATTCATGTATCTGAGCTTGTTTGGATTTCCCTATAAGTTTAGAAGCATTCACTGTGTTTTCTAACTAATTTTTGTGATCATAAATATATATTTATTTTAGATATTTCAATAAACTCATAAAAATCAAAAGGCAAAGAAAAGTCTTCAGTACACCTCTCTAAGATAACCTTGTAAAAATATTTCTGGTATAATTTTGTTTAGGATTAAAATTAAGCATTTTTCATGCACATTTTAAAATTGAATTTTTGAATTGGACATATATATTTCTTATATCGTTAAGAAATATTAATCAAAATATTAATGCTTACAGAATATTTTATAATTTATTTAGCTTATAATTTTGGCTCTGTCACATTGCTGGCATGCTGTCACTGACTCAGCGTGTTGCCTTCATTCTTTAGAATGGACTCCTGGATGAGTTACCAAGACACTGAGACAAACACTCCTGCTGGGCTCTTGTAAATCTTCTGAGAGGTTGCAAGCTTGCCTCTTAGTGCGCACAGTATGGGATGGCTTTTCTTCCCATTGACTGACGGACCTTTATGTCTTCAAATCCACTAATTGTTATGAGCTTCTCACCCTTCTTACCAGACCGACTTGTGTATCGGTTTGAAGAACTCGAGTCGTCTCAGTGTGGCGGTCACATGGGATGTTCCCGAGCTGCCTTTGTGACTGCCACAGCTGGACTTGTCAAAGGAAGCCACCCATTGGCCTACAGATGGCTCAGAGGGGGAAGGGGCCTGTTGCTAACCCAGCCACCCAAGTTCAATCCTCAGGACCCACACAGTGGAAGGAGAGACCCAACCCCAGCAAGCTGCCCTTTGACCTCCAAAAGTGCTTATCTATGCACACGGCACATACACACACGCTTATGTGTGCACACTCTCACACACACACAAGCACACAAAAAACACTTAAGACTATAATAAAATTTGTATATATTTAATATATAAAATATTATATTATGATGCTTACAACATGCCCGGCACATAGTTACTGATGCTGCAAATGCATGACTACAACTGGGATAAGTGCTGAGTGAGGAAATGCTAAGTCAGAGATTTGCTCTGTTAATTGTGGCCACCATTAGAGCACAGCAGAGGTATGGGGAGGAGCTCATGACTTGTGCTAAATGACTTCAATTTAGTGCTCGGAATGAGCAGGTATTGGGTGTACTCTGTGCCAATGTTTCCCTGAATAAGAGAATCCTTTGGCATGAGAGGGGAAGCCTTCCTCTGGTCTCGTTTAATGGCTTAGTCAGCTGGCAGTGTTCCTTCGGCCATGTCTGTTAGGAACAAACATCAGATCTCCGACAAACCTAACTTATGTTCACACTTACTTGTGACTTACAAAGGCCTGAAAATAACCACTACTTCCCGGATTTGCACCACATGAAGCACGAAGCTGAAGATGGCGCTGGACCTAATGGAAGAGACCTGCGCTTTGGATTTGATCCCCTGGTATTCCCTGAGTTTAGCTGGAGAGGATATGCCATGATGACCTCGGCACAGGTATATAGCCAGAGGGCCACAACTCACTGCAGGGGACCCGTATAAACACCCTCAACACACCACACCACACCCCCCCACTCCCCCCACCCTACCCCCCACAGCCCCCTCACCCATCTCACCCCCACCCCAACCCAACCAACCCCCACCCTGGCCTAAAGCTACACTGCCTCTGAGACCTAGTCCAGGATTCATTTTCTCCAGAGCACTGGCCAGGGTCAGCTTGAAGGGGTAAGCTTGGGATTTAAGATAGGGAAAGATTTTAACTCATAAGAATGTACTTGGATTTCACAGTTCATTGGTACTTTTAATTTGGCCGCTAAATCAGAAAAATGAAGGAATTAAAGGAAGTATTTGTCTCTGGAGGCTTTTTTATAGGTAGAAGGAAAATTTTTAAGTGGTGTTAGACTATATTAAAACATAGAGGCCATTTTTCTTAATGCCATTTTGGAAAATAAAAATGAGTTGACTTGATGATGTCTAAAAAAGCCAGCAGCCTCCTCATCCTCCTCCATCTGACAGACATGCTGCGAGGCTCAGGCTGGTCCAGGCTCTCGGTCCCCTGCTTCAGCCTCCTAGATGCCCTAATCCCAGCTGTCCTGTCCTGTCCTGTCCCGTTGTGGTGTGTGTGTGTGTGTGTGTGTGTGTGTGTGTGTGTGTGTGTGTATTCTTGGCCTTGTTGCTTGGGGCGGTGCTTTGCAAACTCTGGAGTTACTCATGAGTGGAGATGGTAAACAACGCATCTTGCCGGTGCTCAGCTGTTCTTTTCTTCCTCTTTCACTCTTCTCTGCTGCACCCATCTTTCTTGCCTTCATGGTGGAGTAAGGGGTGTGTACGGTATTTGGTTACCTGGAGGACTTATGCGATATTTGCAGCTAAACACGTAGAGTCATTGAGTAGTTCTTAGCTTCAGAACTTCTCTTCAAGGCTGATCTCCTCAAGCTACTTTGAGGCAGATAAAACCCTAATAAGAGACAGGATTGATAGCCATGGTCACCCAATGTTTGTCCTTGCCGGGTCAGGACCAGTTCACAGAGAACCTGGGCCAGCCCATAGCTCTCCTGTAGCCTCCATTGGCCGTAACAATGTTTTCCTGGTCAAATCTCCCCAACTAAAGCTGGCTCTACCAAACAGGACTGTAAGACACCCCACATTTACCCCTTTCTTCCCATACACACCAAATTCGATTTCTTTCTTTTTGTGACAGGGTCTCCCAATGTAGCCCTGGTTAACCTGGAACTCACCATGAAGAACAGACTGACCATTAACTTCTAGAGCTCCCCCTGCCTCTGCCTCCTAAGTGCTCGGGTTAAAGCCAAGCACCAGCACACAAGGGTTTTTAAAAAGATTTAATCTAGTTTAAATTCTGAGTCCACTGCTGTAGGAAGCTGTGCACACGTGCGAGGGCAGTCCCTGCAGGGTGCAGAGGAGGGTGTGGGAGCCTCTGCATCTGGAGCTTCAGGAGGTTGTAAGCTCAGGATCAGCTGCAGAGAACCAAACTACATTCTCCACAAACTCCTAACTGCGTCCGTCCCCAGCTCTACTTCTTTAGTGGACATCTTCATTATTCATAGAATTATGGTGGAGTCCATCAAGGAGGTGACTGACACCGCCTGGTCTAGGTGTTCCACAGGTGTTTGAAGCTTCACAGAATATTTGGTTGACCCAAAGCAATGCAGTTCTAACAGTGTTCTTCATGAGGAAGTCTTTGGGTCAGAGGCCCCGTGGTCCCTGTATAATCACTTTCCTTACTCTTTTAATATACCCTTTCACACTTATTGCACTTACCAATTGGTGTTGGGTCTGGGGTCAACCAATGATGGGGGACAAACCACCAGAGTCTATTAAACCAGAAGCAAGCTTTATTCCAGAAAAAAAAAATCACCACGGGTCACACAAAGCTTCTTAGATGTAGCTGTGATCATAGCCAGAGATCCGGCTTCTGTAGTTGTGGCAGTGGGGGGCTGGTTCTGGCCTCCTCCACACCTTTGAACCAGGTGTGGTTCAAAGAGCTTTTACAACCCTGAGGTCAGGCTTAACGTCACAGAACATTTTAAGTTTTACGACTTTTAGTTATAGAATGTTAGGGTTAACTTAGGATGTTTGCCAAAGCCTTGGTTGACACAGCCGCTTTTCACCGTCCCTGAAAGAATGCGAGGCAGAAAGTAGAGTAACCTAGGGACACAGTTAAAGATTAGGGAATACAAGCAGAGGGTCCCATAGAGGCAGTAGTTAGAAGCTAAGCTTTGTCTGTAGTACCTGCCTAGCTCGGAAGCTGGGAGGCAGAAGACAACTCTTGAAATTTTACTTCTTTCAGGGCTTTTTTTTCTTCCAAATGTGTTTGGGCTTGCAACTTTATATTTCTATATTCCTGGACCGTACCCTTTATTTTTATATTCTTTTCCTGGACTTTTCATTAGTATCAAAACTGAAAAAATGAGTTCAATCAAACTCGTCGGGCTGGAGGGAATTTCCACGTGGCACCGTCCGCAGCTTCTGCGGTGGAGCTGGTGATCGTCTGGAAGTCAGCCTTTGCTGTCTCCTGTGTCTCACTCAATACACGTCCTCTCCAGTGAAAGCTGCCTAACTGGGAAAGGGGTGAGAAGAACTATGGTGTAGGAACTCCCACACTTTGTGAACTTCCCTTGGGCCACAGCTGGATCTGGACATGTAGTTTGTGTTCCTAGCAAAAGTAACTTATTCTTTGCACTGGAGGGATGACTCAGCAGTTTAGAGCACGCGATGGCTCATAAGCACCCCTAACTCCAGTTCTAAGGGATCCAATACCCTCTTTTAGCCTCAATGCACATCATATATGCAGGCAAAATGTTTATGTATGTTATATATAGTATATAAATTTGAATAAATGATAATTTACTTGTGTTATTAACTCAAGCTCTGGGGTCACACAAGCCCTCTCCTCCTGTTCAAAAGATAACACTGTTTATTGGTGAAAACTAGAGATACAACTTTCCAAGGCAAACAGGCACATTTACCAACATCTGGGTTCTTATCACAGATGTGTTTGAGGTCCCCCACCATTCCTGTCTGCAGCCATTTAGATGTGAACTTCTTCATGTAAAGTGGGGCTTGGGGGCCTCGCTAGAGCCGTGGTGTGAAATGGCACACTTTCCTCTGCTTTTGAGTTTTCCCAGCCAGTGGTGCTTGCTCCTGTCACTGCAACCCTCTGATACTAGTCCATCTAACACTCTGTTCTGTCTGCCTGTGCGCGCGCGCGCACACACACACACACACACACACACACACACACACGGGAACCCTAGTTGTTGAGAGAGTGTGTTCTTCTGCAGCTGGAAGTGTAAGTGCCTTGGTGTTCTTGTCAGGCCTGCCTGTTTCTACCTGTTACTTGATGTTTACTGAGTGTGTGTGCATGCGCATTTGTGTGGGTGTGCCTTACAAATCTAAATGAAGTCAGTGGTTGGCTGGCATTTCTTGGCAGCCACTTTTCTCATCTACACTTCATGACTTTGGGGGGTTACTTTTCAGAATGAAGTAAGGATAAGGCTGACTGCGAGGAAGTCAAATCTCTCCTTGTTCCACATTATTCTGAGATACGTCAACCCTGGGACTGAAGGAGTGTCTGGCCGTATCACTGTTTATCCATCCCAGGCGAAGTCGGGTAGGTATAATGTGAAGCCTTGTTACTTGTTTCCCTCTTTAGAGACAGAGTCCCACAACCAGTCCAGAGTGACTCTTCCTCCCAGTGCTGGAGGGATGCACAATTGAGTCTCTAAACTGGCTTCACCTCTTTTCAGTTGAGAAAGGATCAAAATAGCATTCCTTTGGTTTTCACAAAGCCCATCATCCCTAGAAGACATTAAGCCCATGGCAAAATCTGATTGGCCGGCTCACTTGCATCCTTCCTTACCATCTGATTGGCCAGTCATTTGGCATGCTTTTCTTCACCATCTGATTGGCTGGCTCGCTTGCATCCTTCCTCACCATATGATTGGTCGGCTCTCTTGCATCCTTCCTTATCATCTTATTGGTCACTTCTTTTGCATGCTTTTCCTTACTATTTGATTGGTTGGCTCTCTTGCATCACATCCTTCCACACCATCTGATTGGATGGCTCTCTTGCATGCTGTTACCATTGCTTTCTCTTCACTTTGTGCTTCTTTTACTTTTGCTGTTAAATTATCACCATCATTTTAAAAATCAGCATAGCGATGTTCAAATGTTGGCTATCCTTCATCCCCAGGGGTCATGGATCCCTTTAGTGGTAAAAACAGATCTGTGTAGCACACTTATGGGGAAGTGGGTGCCGCCTTTTAGGGAAGGGTATTATTTAGGAGCTGTTGGCCTATTGCTCTTAATTCTCTCATGGTTTCAAGCAAGGAGAAATAGAGGAGGGTTGGAATTTTAAAATGAAGGTCAGAAAATAGGAAGTTCAAGGAAGGCCCAAGGACCTTTGAACTTCCTTCAACCGTGAGGACTTCCTGAGCAGAAGAGGGTACCACTCACAGCAGTCGGGGGCAGGGCCTATAACACATGGAGTTAGAGCGTCAACCAATCCCAGAAATGGACTCAAGAAATCACTTGTAATCCCAGAAGGACTCAGAACAGTGCTAATGGAAGCCTGACTCAGCACTGAGATGTTACATAACCTTATTTCACATCCATGGCAGAGTGGGAAGTGAGAGGAGGAATTGGGTCAAGCATTTGGGGCTGGAGGCTAAGCAGCTCACAGCCACTAGAGAGCTCTAGCGGGCTCTCCTTAAGGCGAGGAGCCTCGTGCCCTACACAAGGAGCCTGTGGACTAAAGAAAGCAAGCCGCCCAAGTGCATAACTAGTCTTTGTAGACAGAGGCTGTAGACTCTAAGTTTGTCCCCACAGACTCCTCTGTTCATTTCTGGATGGTGTCAGGGGTCTGCCTTCTGTCCACACACCCCTCTGCTCCTGGGTGTCACAAGCAGTGTGCCCTCTGTCTGTCCACACAGACCCCCCTGTGCCCGGGTGGCCTCAGTTGTCTGCCCTCTGTCTGTCCATACAACTAGAATACAGTTTGGCTTGTTCCCTGCTCTCTGAGACAGTCTCCTCTAAGTCTGAATTAGGAACCTGGTTTCATATTCCTAAGGTTGTCTATGCCTCCTCTCTCGTCCCTACTACCACTGTCTGCTCTTTCATATCATTCTGTAGTCTGATCCCTGACTCTCCCTCCTCATGTCCCCAGGGAGCTTGGCCATGCTTGCTGTGTTCACTACATTGCCTGCAACCAGCCCTAGGCCTGAAACAGTGGACCTTTGTAAATGTCTATAGAAGGAGAGCTATGCAGAGATCTGGTGCAAACATGTCCTCTCCAGAAGACCTCAGACTTGGGGCCAGGTGCAGAAGACCTCAGACTCACTAAGGGGCCAGGTGCAGAAGACCTCAGACTCACTAAGGGGCCAGGTGCAGAAGACCCCTCAGACTCACTCAGGGGCCAGGTGCAGAAGACCTCAGACTCACTAAGGGGCCAGGTGCAGAAGACCCATCAGACTCAGGGACCAGGTGCAGAAGACCCATTAGACTCACTCAGGGGCCAGGTGCAGAAGACCTCAGACTCAGGGACCAGGTGCAGAAGACCTCAGACTCACTAAGGGGCCAGGTGCAGAAGACCCATCAGACTCACTAAGGGGCCAGGTGCAGAAGACCCATTAGACTCACTCAGGGGCCAGGTGCAGAAGACCTCAGACTCAGGGACCAGGTGCAGAAGACCCCTCAGACTCACTCAGAGGCCAGGTGCAGAAGACCTCAGACTCACTCAGAGGCCAGGTGCAGAAGACCTCAGACTCAGGGACCAGGTGCAGAAGACCCCTCAGACTCATTCAGGGGCAGAAGAAATGCATGCTACATCCTGGAAACAAGTAAATAGAGAGCTGGGATATTTCCTAATTGGAAAGTGAAAGTATACTCATGAATAAAAATAAAAAATGACAATCTCCTACAGACAAAAAAGAAAGAAATAAAAAACCATATTACATATTGAATACACACATCTGGAAGGTACATTCCTAAAGATAGATCTTAGCCAGATGTGGTAGTTTGCCTCGGTCATCCGGCACTTGAGGGGAAAAGGCAGGGGGGTAACCAGCTGAGATCAGTGTGTTCTGTCATGAGTTCCAGGTCCGGTGACCTGGCTACGTGGCTGAGTCTGTGTCAAGTGTATACACATAGATATTAGTATATGAATGTATTTAATACACCTGAAAACTCGACACCTTAATAGATACCACTGCTAACACCTTCAACTGCTGTTTGTCTCCTGATAGGCGCTTCTCAAAGCAAAGAGATGAACTTTCCCCCAAATAAGGAGCCAGCCTTTGTCACTGTCCCCGGAGATGGCTCTGCAGACCCATTCTCCATCACCCCAGGGACATGGATCGCTTGCATCCAGGTGGAAGGAGTCCTCCTGGTAAGCTGGATCTGAGTGTCCAGGTCCGTGGACTGTCCTCTCCCTGAGATAGTCTCGCTCATTCCTGTGACCCATGGTAAGACGTCAGAATCACATGCATTTCCCTTCTACTGCAAAGGGAACTGGCTTTTTCCCTTAGGGGACATGACAGAGAAATGTTATGTCCCTTCCTTCAGTCAATTACTCTTGGACAAAAATAATCTATATGTCTCTATATAAATGAACTATAACTCAAAATTAGAACAAATGCAAAGCTCTTATAAAGACATGACCCTACCTTTCTAATTTTGTTTGATATTTCTGTTATGAAGCAAAAAGGCACCAAAGATGCACACACCCAAACATGCAGAATAATCAGGAGAATCTAATTAATGAGGAGGATAAATAGCAGTGAGATTTAGGGATGTGTGAAGGGAAGGGAGAGGCTCCAGGAGCCAGGGGCCCTCCCCCAACCCCTCTACCCCCAAACCCCCCTTCTTCCTGCCTTTCCCTCACCTAGTCAGGAATCCTAAAGCTGGTCTGGCAAACGGCTCCTCATCCAAGGAAAGCCAGAGGAGCCACAAGGGGCTTCTCTGAGGCCCTGCTCTTTGTCCACACCTCAGGTTTGTTATAACTTGTAGCAAGGCCAGAGATAAAGTCGTTAGCACACATTTAATATCATGTGCTTGAAGCAGGAACCATAAAGCTGTCCTTTTGGAACATCAGGAAGTCTTAAGCTGGTCACTCAGCTCTGAAGCTGCCTCCATTGCTTCTCCTGAGTGACAGAGATAGAACTTAACCTTGGGTGTCTTTTCCAAAGACAAACAATGTGAAGTTATATAACATCCGTTGGCCCTCGTGCCTTCTTGGCAAAGAAATTTCATGTCTGGAGAGATAAGTGAGTCAGAAAGGATATTTTCAGATATTAGAAGTAAGGAAGAGGAAGTTCCTTTGCTACCAGTACGGGTGTGAAGCTGGACGGGTGGAAAGATTGTCATAACCCCCTACCTAGGCCTGGGAGATGCGGAACAACCTTGTGCTGATGTTCCCAGCGTGACTCTGTCCTCACTGGGCACTTGCTATTTCTGCTTACTGGTCTTCAGGACGATAGCAGCTATGGGCCTGCTCAGGGAAATGACATCTAGAACAGTGAAAACCTACCCTGTAATAAAGCCACCGAGTCCCCTGACCACCAATCTGCTTTTTCCCGTACCTGAGAAAAGAAAATGCCTTAAGGACCACATGGGAATCTCCCTCTAGAGGCGAATCCCCCATCTCCTCCCTTCTGCATATATGTAGTGGGGCCACAGATCCTGAGATCGCTGGGACACTGCAAGGCACCTGTGTCTGAGAGCCTGGAGCACCGCTCTTTCCTGAATGCTTAGCTGCATTTGCATAACTTAATCTGGCATGGTTGGTGGGATAGCTGCTCTTTCATTTGCTAGGACAGGCAGGAAGGTTGTCTGAGATACCAACATCACAAAAACCCTTTCCCTACCACTATGCTCTGTAGGCAGGGTTGGAGCTGAAGGCCACATCACTGGTCAGTAGATGGCGCTCTGTAGTGAGGAGGGCAGCCAGCGGCTCAGCAGAGCATCTTTTTTAATGATTTATTTCTATTTCATGTACATTGGTTTACCTGCGTGAGGGCATTGGATCCCTTGGAACAGAGAGTTGTGAGTTGCCATGTGGGTGGTGGGAATTGAACCGGGGTCCTCTGGAAGAGCAACCAGTGTTCTTAACCTCTGAGCCATCTCTCCAGCCCCTCAGCAGAGCATCTTAATAATTTAGTTCAATGTCTTTGATCACTAGGAGAAGGGGATTTATTATAAACAACCGGAAGATAAAGTAACATTTCCTGTGGATCTAGAAATCCCAAATATACACTCTGCAGCCCTGACCTCTAGTGTGCGAAGAATTGTGGGTTCTGGAGGGCCAGGGTGAAGAACGAAAGAGTTGATCTGAAGTTGAAGTTCACCATTGACTTCCCTGGGACTTTATTCTCTTAGCATACACATTTGTCATTTCATTACCAACTCTGCCTGTGGTCTTCACTGGCTAGGATTACCTGGTGCTGCTTCCCCGCGACTACTATGAAGCTCTCGCCCTGCAAGTGCCAGTCACGGAACCATGCGCCCACACAGGATCGCCCCAGGACAAGTTAGTATGGAGTGGGGGTGGGGTGCAGCCTCAATGCCACCAGACTCCTCTGAATTAGCCACGAATACAAGGCTCATGATGGTGGCCTCACAATCGCAGCGGTTATGGGTTATGGTACAGCCCCGCTGGTAGGTTCATTGTGAATTGTTGCTCTGAGCCTTACTTGAGTAAGAATCTGAAAGCATGTCGCATGCCACAGCTGGATGAAGAGCGCCGCCACCGCCGCCGCCTTGTGCGTGTGGAACGCTGCAGCTCGCAAAGTCACCTCAGAGTCATTCATCGGACGAGGGCAAGAGCTCAAAGAAGGGCGGGTTCTTGGACCTTGGTTCCGTCCCCTCCTGTGTGGGAAACTTGCTGGTCCATGCCTTCCATGTCCACTCGCTAAGACTTTGTTGAGGAAGTGATGCAAGGACGCCGAGGTGACTTGCATCACTGCAGCCTTGTAGCTCTGTAGGTTTCCGTATCGTGTTCATGTGGTAACGATTGTATTTGTTCTCGTTGAAGTTGTTTGCTTTACCAGCATTTACCAGTGACCCGATTCTCCTGCACCCTGGCTTGTGAGGCCACACACTTCCTGCTTGATGGGGAGCCAAGACCTGTGGCAGTGAGGCAGCCCACTCCCGCACACCCAGCCATGGTGGACCTCAGTGGGAGAGAGGTGGGGCATCCTTCCACTTCCTGTCAAAGCTGGTGCGACCTCTGCATTTGTGTCTGCTGAATGCTTAGTTAGCTACGGTTGCTTCCCAAATCCCTGAGAGCCAGAAGGGTTTCTCAGAGGTGTTGATGAACAGGAGGTGAGGGCTCTGATTTGAACTGGGGCAGACACGCCCTCCACACGGAGCTGTGTTGAGGGGTTTTTTTTTTTAGCACCTTCTAGAAATAGCAACAACCATAGACGATCTCAGGGTCATTTGGTTACCTGCTCCACCTGACTCACAGTGAAGTCGACAATCTTACAGGCCTCCAGTAGCCGGGTTGATTTACCTTTAAAAGGATACAACGGGTCCCCTCTGCTCAACCCCATAGGCCTAGCCATTTGTAGCAGCTGAATTTGTGGAACTTGGAATCTGAAACTGCCCCTCCCCCACCCCCCCCAGGCATCTGTCCTGTGGCTGGGAGGACAGGTTAGTACAGGCCAGGGCTTTGTGTCTCTTCCTGGAGTTCTTGGAGTGACACAGGCAAACCTGGTAACAAACATACTGGTAACAGATTGTATAGTATACCAGCAGTGAGAACACACATCTCAGCACCTCAAAATGAAGATGCTGAACAACAGCCTGCTCCCCTCCATTCTCATTCTTTTGTTAACATTGTCTCTTCTGAATTTTTGAGAGAACACTTCTTTTGGGGTAAAGTGTATGAAATTAAAATATCTGTGGCCTTAATTATTCCTAAATATTTAGGTGCACACATTTTATAAACTATGTCCTTACATTTTAAAGGCAACAGCTAAAGATACTAAGGTTACTTCTTTGGCTCCTCATTTTATTTTATTAGATTTTTAATTTATAAAAATATAGTTAGTGTAATAAGAAAACATAATTAGCTACAATGAAAAACCGAATATTCTCTCTACTCCATTCTAAAATTAGCTTAACCACATTCCTTTCTTCCATACTGCATGTACACATGTGCACTCACTTGTACATATATTTAACATGTGAGAATGAACATATATGTATATATGTTTTGATAATAGGGAAGTCCAGCTGAGGGGTACCAGCCCCTTGGGAATATATAAACTTATATTAGTTAAGCTTAAGTATATCTAAGCTGTCTCTCAGCTACCTCAAGGTCTCAACAATCACCCATGTTTGGGGACAACATGGATCATAGACTATTTTTATCATAGACTATTTTTGTCACTGCAAGAAGGCTGTTGTGATGAAACTCAGATCTGTGGCATTAGAAGCAGTATTGTAGCTATTCTAGCTCCTTTCTTATACAAGAGTTATTATTGCTAGACTCACTGGCCTTGTATATAAAACCAAGGAATTTTTATTTAAGCTTTAATCTCATCCCAGGGTTATTTACCTATATTAATTACTTTGCTTCTTAGTGTGACCAAATACTCGACACAAAGCAGCCTAAGTAAGAAAGGATTTATTCTGGGTTTTGGTTTGGGGTGTAGTCCGCTAAAGTAAGGAAAACTTGGGCAGCATGAGTGTCTGTTGGCTATGGCCGAGATGGGAAAGAGAGTAAGGTCATGTGGAAACCTCGAGGCCTGCCCTCCAGAAATTTACCTCCTCTGGCTAGGCCCCAGTGTGTACAGATTCCACAACTTTCCAAAACGGTGTCACCAGTGGGCATGGCTCATAGAGGGATGTCGGTATACATCTAAATAGTAACAATTCTTATTCTGTATGTGCAAGTATCAGAAAACCAGAAAAATCCAAAATGGGAGCCATTTCTGGCCCCCAGACTGGGTAAGGAAGTCTCATGTGCTGCCATGTTGCATGATGTCTCTGTGGAAGCCTCCTGATTAAATTGCCTGCATCTGCAGAAATTTTTGCTCGCCGGGCCAGAGAGATGGTTCATAAAGCACTTGCTGTTTAAACACGAGGATCTGAGCTCAGATCTCAGCAGCCACATAAAGGCAGATGTGGAAGCACACATCTGCCATCCTGGTCCTCCTGAGGTGATATAGGACATATACACGTGGAGACACACACACACACACACACACACACACACACACACATTGTCAAGGATCAGCCTCGACAAAACCACCTCTTGCCAGGATAGGGGCATGGGAATTTAGAAATATAAGTATAGAATACAGAGATGTGTGAAAAATGACAGATCAGAAACCATAGAATAGTACCAGGAGGGCATTCCAGTAGTTACTGAAATTGCCCCATAGCTTGTATACAGTCAATCGCTTTAACACTCGGAGACATCAAATCATTAGCATTCTGTTGTTTAGGCCCTAGACCGTGAATGCTGAAGGCAGCCACTCCCCAGGTGACCTCTTTGTTACAAAAGAAGGAACAGAAATACATTTTCATATCCTGACCATCTGTAGAGATGGCAAGGACCCACTTGAATGAGCTACTTTAATGTTAAAAGAACCAAGCAATCACACCCTGAGTTGGGATGTAAAACTACCTTGCCAGTCATTTAGAGGAACTCCAACTCTGACTGGCAGACAAGGTGGAATTAGGCTCACATTTTTGGGCCTCCACACCTCTCTGACTAACTCAGTTCCACATCTTACATGTTTCTATGCTACTTTCTGAGAGAATTTGCCACACTTGAAACTTATACTGTACCTGTATAGTTATCTAATTATCTGATCAAAGCCCGAGAGCAGAACTCACCTGTCTTATAATCTATTGGATGCTCACTAGCTGGTCACAGTAGGCCTTCAGTAACACTTGATGGCCAAAATATTGAAATTCCCATCTGACATCAGGATGGTAGTTTATCCTTCTTGGCTTGGCGTAGGTGGAAGGTTTGATAACCTACCCTCCACGTCTTTACCCTTCACTTGAACCAGGAAAGGGAAGCTCTGTGCTGCAGAGTCTGGCCCTGGGCCCTTTCAAGTCCTCTTCAGACAAATAGCCCGACAGCGACATCACCTTTCCATTTCACCCAAGTCCATCTGCGTTACTATCAGATGTAAACAGATACCAGTCTGTGGTACTCACAGTGGGTTGGCAGTAGGAGCTTAGAGGCATGATATGATGGAAGTCACATCTTGTCACTGGCCCACGCGTGCTGTGCGGTGAGCTGAGACAGATAGCTTTCATTTGAAGATGCCTGAGGAGAGAAGCTGGCAGGCCAAGGCTGGACTCTCCTATGTGACAGAGTCAGAACTGAGTGACCAGTGCACATTTGCTCTTTGGTCAATAAAGGTGTAAAAATAAACGGCACACCAGGAAACGTGGTTGAGCAAAAGGAACAAATCTTAACAAAGACAACCCAATCACAACTGCTAGTCTCGGCGGCCACAGCAGCGACCTGCCTCCGCCACCTGTCGCCAGTGCCTTTCCACCGCCAGCTGTGCAGCTTGTGTGCCCCTTAAAAGCACCCAGGAGGCACAGCTTGCTCTCCCTCTCTTGCCTCTTCCTTTCTCTCCTGTTTCTCTTCTTCCTCCTGTCTGTCTGCCTCTCTCAAGTCCCCACTCTGACATGGTCTTTTGTCGCCCCACCCTCTAAACCTCTTGTGCTAACTCTGTTGTGCATGGTCTGTTTCCCTAGTGGCATACCTTGGCAGGACCCACCAAAGGTGCCCACTATCTTTTTATTTCTCCTTTCAGTATCCACCAATGTTTCTGTAGTGCTTGTTGTATGTCACATAGAGCTTCAACGTTCTCCATCCATTCATCCAACCTCAACTCTGTTGAGGGAGGACTGATGCCACTGTCCCTATTTTGTAGGGGCATACAGACATAAGTTCTAGGTTGCACAGCCAGTGTCAGCCTGATTTTGGACCACAAGCTTCTGCCTCATGATTGACAAAGAGAAAATCACATTTTCTCCAGCAAGGGCCAGAGAGTAAACATTTTCAGCTTTGTGGGTCATTGCAGCCTGAGAAAACCCTGGTTTCTGACTCATAACCAGTTTTCTTAAAAATAAAAAGGGGGAAACGTGTATGCCACCATAGAAAATGGTTTGAAAGAAAAGAAGCCAAGTGTCCTCGTTCCTGCCAAAGGGAGGACTTGTGTGCTGCTTTTACATGGTTTTTATTTGGCTAATCTGATATTTCTCTCTTGAGGTAGCATTTAAGAGGCAGGTCTCCATTCTCAGTGTTGGGGATGTTTGTTTGTTGTTAGGAAACAAGCAGCTGAGCCATCCCCGAGAACAGAAGTCCTTAGACACAGAATCCTCAGAGTTAGAAAACAGAAATACACGATACTCTTGGAAGTTCCAGACAAGTGATTATGCAATGTTTCTCTGAGCTCAGAATTTTAACAGGGCGTCTGTTTCCCCCACAACCTCTCTGGAGGATCACGAGTTTACTATGTAGACATGACCAGACTCTGGGACATCCTCTCTGCTTTTGCCATTGTAAAAACATATCCAATACAACGCACATTGGATGACTGTCGACTTGACCTCTCTGGCAGGTGGAACTGCACCTGCGCTTGCGGGTCCCGCAGATTGGCCACTATGTGATCATGCTGGAGTATGTCACGGAGGTGGACCAACTTTCTGTGGTGGATGTCAGCCTGAAGAGCCCAGGGTCTGCCTTGGCAGGCCAGGTGAACGTCTACAGCTGCCAGCACAGGTAATAAGGCCCCGCCCTGGAATTCCTCCAGCAGGGAAGTCTGCTGGGACTTCGGTGATAGCCAACTGGAGTTGCTTCCTTTTGAGGCAACCTTTGAAAACTAGGAGGAAACTAGTTCTAGGGAATAACATTATCCCCAGATGGATTGGGACATCTCCATGGGCAGCTCTGTGAAATAATGGGAAAGGTGCCCATCTCCCTTCACAGCCCACCTTCAGAATCTGCCATCATTAGTGGTTGATGACTGCTGAGTGCAAACGGAATGAGGAAGGACTCTCAAGTTTACCCTAATGAAATGTTTGCCCAAGAGTGTTAATGGACAGAGCCGGGCGGTGGTGGCGCACGCCTTTAATCCCAGCACTTGGGAGGCAGAGGCTGGCGGATCTCTGTGAGTTCGAGACCAGCCTGGTCTACAAGAGCTAGTTCCAGGACAGGCTCCAAAACCACAGAGAAACCCTGTCTCGAAAAAAAAAAGAAAAAAAAAGAGTGTTAATGGACAAGGGCTTGCTAAAAGTGATTTTCTTTGAATAATGTTTCACGAACATTCCTTAATTAAAGCACAGAGGGCATTTGCCGATGAGGCTAAAAGTGTGATTAAATGACACCCGAAGTTGTACTCCCTTGACACACTCGTGGAGAGCTGCAGTGAGCTCACCCGAAGTTCTAGTCCCTTGACACATTCGTGGAGAGCTGCAGCGAGCTCACCCGAAGTTCTAGTTCCTTGACACACTCGTGGAGAGCTGCAGTGAGCTCACCCGAAGTTCTAGTCCCTGGACACACTCGTGGAGAGCTTCAGTGAGCTAACCCCAAGTTCTAGTCCCTGGACACACTCGTGGAGAGCTGCAGTGAGCTCACCTGAAGTTCTAGTCCCTGGACACACTAGCAGCAGTGAGCTCACCTGAAGTTCTAGTCTCTTGGCACACTAGCAGCAGTGAGCTCACCTGAAGTTCTACTCCCTGGACACACTAGCAGCAGTGAGCTCACCTGAAGTTCTAGTCTCTTGGCACACTAGCAGCAGTGAGCTCACCCGAAGTTCTACTCCCTGGACACACTAGCAGCAGTGAGCTCACCTGAAGTTCTAGTCCCTGGACACACTAGCAGCAGTGAGCACACCAGCTCTTGGTCAGGGCCTTCAACGTTTTGTTGGCCTTTGTTCAAGTTTTATGGCAAACCTGAGATAATTGAAGTAGCTGCCCATCTTCCAGGATGTGAAATGAAAAGAATGGATGAAAAGAGCAGCTTAACATAGGCATTTTTGTGAGGCCTGAGAAAATGACTGTTGAATTAATGTTATGCTCTTAGTGATCCTAAATAAATCCTGAGGGCTCTCAGGATCCTTTATGGAGATCCCATAAAGGAAGAATCATACTTGGATATGTGTGTGGTATTGAGGCTCAGACCCAGCACCATCCACATGGCAGACAAGTACTTCCCCACCAAACCCATCTCCTCAGTTCTGTAGGTGGGCTGTAAGGGCATGGGATGGGCCTGAAGCAGTTTCTCAGAACTGCCTCTCACTATCTAAATATATGAGTTTCACACGCAGTTGGCATCATACACTGCAATGTGTACTCCCCGATGGGTAGGACCTCGCGTGCCAGAGTCCTGGGTGTACTGGCCACAAGGCTTCTTCAGCTTCTCTATCTGAGCCCAGCTTCCAGGTGAGCTTTTAGACTCCTCCCATCTTTCAGAGCACAGGCTTGATTCCTTTCACAGAATCTAAAAGATGGAGGACTATCCATAGTTACTCCAGTGACTCTCCAGTTAACCTCCCAACTCCAAGATCATCTATGCCCAAGTTGGTGGAGTATATGTTTTGGAAAGAGAAGGTCTTGCTATGCAACCCAGGGAGGCCTTGAATCCATGATCCTCCTGCCTCAGTGTCCTGGGTGCTGGGATAGTCATGTGCCATCATACCTGCCCTGACAGGCAGGTTTACAAAGCCAAAGAAAGGAAGGGTCCTTGCAGGATTCCATTCAGGTTTTTTTTTTTTTTTTTTTTTTTTTTTTTTTTTTTTTTTGGTTTTTCGAGACAGGGTTTCTCTGTGATTTTGTCCATTCAGGTTTTCTGATGAGGAAGGCTGTATGACGCCGTACATGTTTCGGCACATAAGAGCATCTAAGTGTGCTTAGCAAACCCGTTCTTAGAATAGCACAGCGTCATAGTAGACTAGAGATTGCCTGCTTCATACTTAACCCAGGAGAGTCGCATTGGACATTTTTACTGGGCCAAAATATTTCCTTTTTTTTTTAATGTTTCAGAGGTCACAGGGGTCAAGTAAAGGCTAACGGCCTGCAAGGGTGCGAGTTTAAAATGACAGGCCTGTTCAGCGTTGCAGTCTCCTGCTGAGGTTTGAACTTTCCCCTGCATGTCTCAAGTGATTTCTAACCACTCTGTTAGACAGAACATCTCAGCAGAAAAGCGACGAGAGCCTCACTTTCCAGAGTGATGCAGCGATAAATCACGTGTTCTCCCCGCAGTGCGGCGACCCGTAATGATAAACCACGGCCGTCTATTTCTTAGTGAGACTTTTCAGGGGTGATGATAAAACTAAATGCAAGGCAATCAATGTATTTAGCTCCCATGATGGCACTCGAGTCCGAAAGAGCCGCTTCAGTTGCACTTCCGCACCGGCTGTAGGTTTCTGCGCTTGTGCCCAACTTCTGCTAGAGTCTGCATGTTTTATCTCCTTTTAGTCATTTCTGAAGCATCCTTGACCAAATTATTTCAGGTGTTTCTTAGGGGTGGCCATATTGTTTTACCCTATTCTTAGCTCCAGATTTATGTGTTCAAAGGGAAATGGCCTTAGATATGCTTCCTAGTAGTCTCATCAGAGCCAGATTTCATGATGTAAAACCGTAACTTTTAAAAAAGGGTCTCAAAATGTCTCTCACCCATATGGAGAGGAAGGGTGGGGAGCAGCGGAAGACGTGCAAAGGGACTAGGGAAGAAAACTGGCAGCCCTGAACACCATCTGACGTGCCCTTCCCTGTGTTGGTAGAGCTAGCCATGCTTACTGCTGGGTAACTTGAGTTATGAGTAGTCCAAACAATATTGGCAAATTTCCCAAAGCTCGGCCATCCCTGCCCAGGGTCCCTTCTCCTGATGACTAGCCATGCCTTCTGTCACCCAGGAGGAAATGGGCAGCAGAGGCCGCAGGCCTGGGAGGTACAGCATTGCCTGAAGTAGAAAGTCTCTTGTCCGCAGAGATGGTGGTCAGAATCTAAGTCTCTTTGTGCTGCTAGCGCAGAATAGCATAGACCTGGGATTTTATAAATAGAAGAGGTTTGCGTCTCACTGTTGGGAAGCTGGGAGTCAGCATCTGCCGGGAGGCTCTTGTGCTGAGTCATTCTGCCATAGGAGCTGGAAGGGCCAGAGTGTACGAGGGCATGAGGGTCTGTTTACATAACGGCTCATCCCTGTGACAGCTCAGCCCCCTCACGCGGTAGCAGCAATCCGCCCACAGAGCTGAGGCTCTGTTCCCTGGCCACCTTTGAAAGGTCACAGTGGCAATTGCATTTCAAAATGAATTTTGGGTGATTCAAACTATAGTAGACTGCATCCCTCTTCGACTCGTCATGCGGGAAAATTGCCCCTGGTTCACTTAGTTACAAGCAGATTAAGTGGAAGATCATGAGGTGCACAGCAAGGGAGCCAGTTGCCGGCTGCCAGGCTAAAACAGCTCTGTTCCCCTTTGCAGCACTCTTTGCAGGAGCATGGTGATTGACAGTCGGAGTCGTACGGCTGTGTACCAGCTCTTGGCAGATGCAGACATTCGGCTCAAGGTGCACACGGCCAAGTTCCTCCTGGTACGCCTTCATCTAGCCCACGAACTCTACAAGTCTTCTGCTCTTGTCTGCATTTCTTAAAAGCTTATTAAAATGTGGGCTGCAATTTCATCTTATCTGTAAATTCAACATTTGACAGTTAACTATTTTTCTCCTCTTGAGTCTTCCTCATGTCACCTCAGAAAGTCAGTCATCAAACTTGAATGCTTCCCACACAAAAAAATCACATTTCATTAATTTTTATCATTAATATAAGTGAAAAATCTTTAATCATTACATTTCTACTCTATTATTATTATGTCCTGGTACAGAAATGACACGGGTTATCATTTAATTTCTGTTCCATTTTACCATTCTGTGTAGTTTCTTGGAACGGTCCATCAGCTGTTTAAGTTTTATAACTGCTTATACAGTAGTACCCTATATTTCAGCTAGGTGGATATACACCTTAAAATTTAAATGCCAGCTGGGACAGATTAAATGGCATTCATGCCCACCCATGTGATGGGGGAGCTGTGACCAACAGTAGCATCTCCCTGAAAAAGGAATTGTAAGATTTACAGGAACTGTCTCAGAGAATTTGAGATTACCTAAGTGTGAAACAGCTTCCTGTTACTGCTGGCAGCAAGCATGCATCACACCCAGGAAATGCCAGGGGGAATGTGCTTTAAATATTTGTGCCTAGCCTAGCAGGAGTAAGTAAAAACTTGGAATTTAAGGGCTAGTTTGGAATCAGACTTTAAAAATTATTATTATGAAATGGTGCTTTTCCTTCTGTGAGTCCAACTGTCTCCTCTTCGGAAATTGTCCCGGGACTGCCTCAGCCTTTTAAGTATGGATTTGTCCTCTGAAAAGTGGCCTGAGGTCACTGAAGATCAGGGTGACTAGCATGAATGTTCCATGAAGGAGGGGGCATTGCCCTCTGGACACCCCAGTGTTGGTGTTACTACATACATTTTTGTTGTTACGACTGAACTACTTTGCCAACTACTTTGAGTTGGTAATACAATAAGAGATATTGTAATAATAAGAGATTCTTTAATGACTGAATTTCTTATGTGACCCAGAAATTGGCAGTAGAGACAAATCCTTCAAAGTCCAATTTTGGGCTGCAATCTAAGACACCTTTTATAAAGACAGTGCTTCCCCAGATGTGGCCATGTCTTCAAACAGCAGGCTCTTTGGCCGTTCACTGCCTCTCTCCCTCGGGAAGCATTTCAGGTGTCGGTACTGGCCCTAAGTCAGAGAGAAAAAAAGAGGCACCAAAGGCCCTGGACAGAGCTGGTCCTGAACCTTCCCATGATCCAAAGGCCCTGGGCAGAGCTGGTCTTGAACCTTCCCATGATCCAAAAGCCCTGGACAGAGCTGGTCTTGAACCTTCCCATGATTTTGTTCTTTGACGTATTTGTGCAATTATTCCAACAACAATGTAGTCAGTGATCCTGTCTAATAAGAAATAGGATTTTTCTTGCTGCCTGGGGGGAGGCTGCATGCTTGCTATCCTGCAGTTTCGCCACTTTAAAATAATAGACATTTTCTGGCTGTGTTTTTTATTAATAACCACTTTTAAGAGAGTGCAGCTTTTTGCCAGTAACCGTTGTGTGTTTTTACTCACTCGGCAGTATCAGGTCTGTATTATACCCACTGAAGAATTCTCAACTGAATATTTGAGACCTCAAGTCCACTGTATTGCCAGCTATGGACCGCTTGCTAATCCAAGGTAATGTGTTTCCTGTTGGGTCCATAGGGGTTGCACAAAGATGGGGACAGACCACCAAAGTCTAATAGACTGGAAGCAAACTTTATTCAAGAAAAAAATAAAAAATTAACTCCATGGGGCACAAAAAGCTTATCAGCTATCTGGGACCACTGCCAGAGATGGATTTTTGTAAGGCTGTGGCCAAGGCCAGTTTCTGAACCCACCTTTTTATAGTAGGGGTACCAAGCATTTGGTCTGAACAAAGGAATTTTTATAATCTCGAGGTAAAACTCAGGTACAGATTGCCTTACTTTACAATCTTCATTAACAGAGTTTTTCAGTTAAACTAGTGTTTGTACTTGACCTACCGTCTTCCCTGGCATTTCCAGGCGGTGTTTACTGAAGCTCTGTGCTCTCCCCTTTGATGCTGCCAGGTTCATGTAGCAGGGATAATGCATAACCCAGAGGTCATGTATATCCACCTCCTAAAGGTTAACTCAGCTCATATCTGCCATTAATCACGGATGGCTGGGATACTATCTTAGACTATCTCTCAGTTTGCAGAGAGATGCTTTGCCCTTGTGAATAGAGCTGTGGGTTGTAAAGCACAGTAACCCACTGTTAATAGTTAATCCTTAAGCTGCTGAGAAAGCTGATGAGAGTCTGCTCTCATTCTCCTAGGCTTACAACTTTGTATTTCTTTATTTCTACATTTTTATATTTTTTTCTTGGACCCTTCATTTCCCTCCTTTCTTCCTTGCCAATACTCTGAACACTAGTGTCATATATGTAAGTATGAAACTATGCAAGTTGGCGATTCCTTCCCTGAAATGCTCAGGACCTTAACTATTCTGAATTTAGAGCATTTGCAAATACATAATAAGATGTCTTGGGGATAAAACCCAAGTCTAAGCACGGAATGAATTATGCACCACACGCAGCCTCTCACACCACCTGCAGCTGAATGCAGACAGTGTATCTGGTGTGCCTCTGTTGGACTGTGATCTGTCCCGTGAGGTCACCAGTAGAATTTTCTGCTTGGAGCATCATGTTGGTGCTCAAGAAGTTTCAGAGTTTAGATCACTTGGAGTTTGGGATTTGGGGTGCTCAGCGTCTGCCTAACTGCAATATAAGGCAAGACACTGATGTTTACTATAGAATGTTAAAAAGAGAAGAGCCAGTTAAAAAAACTTATTATGCAATCACAATGACTGGAGTTTTGATTACAGCCTCCATGTAACAAGCCGAACTAGGTATCCCACAGATACCTCAGGCCCCGCTGGGCATCCTGCACACGCCCCAGGCCCCGCTAAGCATCCCACACACACCTGCAAGCCCCGCTCCAAGGTGAGCGTCGATAGGAGGATCACTAGGACTTGATGGCTTCCAGGCTACCCAACACACAGGCCCCAAGCTCAGTGCGAGACCTTGCCTCAAACACAGACTAGGTAGAGAAGGCTACCCCATACCCTCTTCTTGCTTCTGCTCACACATACAAGCACTCACTCTTTCACATACATGTACACATGCATTCATACACATGGACAGACACATATTCACAATTTTTCACATATTAAATTTTTTTTAATTTAAGGACAATAGATGGTCCAGCTAAGTAGGTTTTCCCAGTTGTCAGTCCCATCGCATACACCATGGCACAGGCAGAGCAAGGCCAGGGGAAACAGCTAGGCCTGCTCCTCAAGTGCAGGTCTGCCAAGCTCTGCTCTGTGCCTCACTTTGTTCCAATCCTTTAATCTTGGCGTCTAGGCTCTTCTTTTGAAAAAACAGAAATAATGCTCCATCTCGGAGCTGTGCTATCAGAACTAGCTAATTAGAGCTTGTTGTGGGTTTTAGGGTGTTGTTTTGCTGTAGATCCAAGAATAATTAAAAGGTTCAGCCATGGAAACTCATGTGCACATTAGGACTCTCGAATCCACCAGCATAGCGCCATTTTAGCCGTGAGGCAAATGGCACACAGCTGTCTCTCAGAGCAGCGTTCCTGCAGAGAGAGGAATGGTGTCTTTACAGTGATCTCATTTTATTAACTAAAGTTTGCTCAGGAGAAGCAAATGCCAATAAATTTCTGGTTTGCAGGACTTTAAAATGCAGATCTTCTTTCTGTGTTAACTTCCTGGTGAACAGGTGCTTGTGCTACGGCCAGCAGCCACACCTGTGCTGCCATGCAAGGGTCCCTAGACCTCCACCTTCCATGGGTTCTTCTGGTTCCCCTGGCGTGCAGCAGTTGGCCTCCGGGTTTCTTGGCCAATGATCATCATGCGATGTGTTTTGTTTGTTTGTTATAACACAACCATATTTTAAAGTGTTCTATTCCTTAGTGTCACCTGTGTCCCCCTGGCCCACGAAACTCCTCCAACAGCCGTAATTTTGGATGCTCCAAGAGGTGGCCCTCTCCCTCTCCTGTCTCAGGAGTCTGCCCCTCCTGCAGATGGTGTCACCCTGAAGGCACCACAGGTAGGAACACCCTCCAGTGTTGTATCTAGACCCGTAGTTCTTAGAGTGCGACACCCCCTGACCCCCACCTCCACCAGGCAGCATCCACTTCACCCTGCGGCTTGTTTGGGGTGCCCCCACCCTCCTTCATCCCAGGCTCTGGAGTGGGGCCAGTCATCTGTCTTTACCCATCCTAGCCCCTTAAGACTTGGGAACGTCCTCTCTCAGCTGTCGTTCACTGAGCAGTGTGGCAGTGCAGCCTGGGTAGCCCCGACTCAGGGCTACTCCTGCCCTCCCCACCTGTCCCCGTGAACACTCAGTAAGTTAGCACGTTACAGAGTCTATTGTTGTCATAGGCAGTGGCTGTTTGACGTGGTGGAGTATTGGTTCTTCTCCCCACATGGAGTGTAGAATTTTGAGAAGAGCTGGTGCAGCCTGTAAATTGTTAGGCATCCCCTAACCGTTTAGGTGGGGAATTCTCAATAGACATTCACCAATTATCATCTAGTCCTGGGCGGTTAAATTTAGTAAGGTCGTGAAGTGCTTTTGCAACACGCCATTAAAAAAAAAATCACAGGATCGCTTAAAAAATCACAGCTTTCTGAATTATTGCATGAACCCAAGCGGGCTCTTCTAGGCCCCCTAGCCGCGACTGCAGAAAGAATGGAGGAAGTTGTCTAAATGAAACTGGTGCAGTAAAGGAGCCAAAACAGCTGCCCTCCAAACCACTGAGGCTCTCTGGGGACAGCAGAGAGAGGGGGAGAGTGGTTGGGTTTTCCAAGGTTTTAAGGGGGTACATGGCAGGAGGGGAGATGGTAAACTGGGGTGAAGGCTTTGAAGTGTATACCAGGTGCTTGTGAGTAGGGCTTGAAGGAGCCTAGAGGCTAGCCCAGCATAAACCTTCATCTGCTGATAGGTGCAGGTTAATAGAGAGCCTAAAGCTCCTTTCACCAGACTTAAGGAGACTGACTCCTTTTAGAGGCAGGAACTATTTTCTCAAGTCCCTGAGGGAATGATGTCTTTTATCTAACCGCCAGACTTGGTAAAGGAAATTGTGGGGACCAGACATTCTCATAGGAGATCTTGTAGCTAGGGGTGGGGGGAGCTGAAATGAAGTCCTGGTTTTGCCCTCACTCGAAGATAGATAGAGGCCTCTAAGACAGCTCCCAAGGTTAAAAAAAAAAAAAAGGCACCGATGGCCAGACTGATGATGGGAGTCCCATCCCTGGGATATTGGTGGAAGGAGAGAACAGATTCCTGAAAGTCGCCCTCTAGCCACTGAATGTTTGCTATGGTACTTATGGCCCCATTCCAGTGTGACAAAAATAGTTTGAAAGATGTTAGACTTTCCCAGCTGTGGCAGTGGTGTTTTTGCCATAGTTTTTGAGTTAAAAGAGCAGGGCAGGGCATATTCTCTTAGGCCAACAGGGTAGAACTCTGGGCTCAGTTGTGCTTGGTGGCAGGTGGGGAGTGGCAGAGGGTGTACCCAGAATGAGGTGGGTGCCCTTCCCCACCAGCTAGAGCTTGTGTGGTTTCAACTTTCCACTCACACCAATGTGTCCTCACCAGCTTGTCCACGTGTATAAAGAAGTAATCGCTATGAATAGTAAGGATATTACAGGTTCCCAGAAAAGAAGCTGAGGTAAGTTACCTGCAGAGGGGTTTTACAACACCACAGCTTGAGGTAGAAGGCAAGCCTTCAGGCTGTGGGATTAGCTTCCTCAAGAGCGACAGCCATCAGGGATAACACATAGGGAGGGCTGACGGAAGGGAAAGGGACAGGGCCTTCAGTTAACAAAATGCTGGAAGAGTTACACCATACCACAGGCAGCAAGGTAGGGTCTTGAAGGAAAAGTTTTCAGTTTCAAAGAGCAAAGGGTAAGTGCTCTCCCGGACTAGTTCTGGGGTGTGCGTAAGTTCTGCACTGTTAGGAATATTTTCTAATAGAGCCTCTCCACCGGCACAGAGAATTCCAGTCAGACCAGATTAAACCAAATTAAATGCCTCTGTTTAATAGACAGCAGTCCTGGGTGGCCGGGAGCATGGCAGGGAGTCTTTGGATATAGGGGTGTGACAAGGAGCTGAGGTGATATTTATGACCAACATTTTAAATGTAATATTGAGTTGGAAGTGACACCCCAGCCTGCCGAGTGCTTGGACTCCAACTCCCAGCCTGCCAAGCGCTGACCCCTCCCCTGGGAGGGTCAGGACCACCCCCACAGGGTATTTAGGGAAAGGACACTCCTGGTTTTAGGTTTGCGTGCGCTTGCTTCCTCTGTCTTCCCCCTTCTCCCGGCCACATGGGACCACCGTCTGTTAGTTACGGGCATTTAATTTGGTTTAACCTGGTCTGATTGGAATTCCTCCTGTCTGCCGAGAGGCTCTGGCTTGTCTTAACATGAACCATGTGTTCTAGCCTGCATAGTGGACCTCAGGCAGGCCCTGAGGAGAATCTAACTCAAGGCAGCAGCGGTTATTCCCCAGGAGGTCTGAGACACAGAGAGAAAGCCGGGCATGGCTTGATTTGGGGAAAGGAGAGCATCATGTTGATTTGTCATGTAATCAAAAGTTTTCTCAAAAAATGGGAGCCTACTCCTTCTTACACAAACTCATGTGTTGAGTCCCATGGCTGGCAGCGTGTTTATCTAGTTCTTCGGCAAACACACTGCACATTTCTGTTGGGCATGTACCCAGGCATGTAACTGCTTTGTCGTGTGTTTGGCTTTGATAAATACCACTGAAATTACCCGGCACGAGTGAGGATGGATCACAAAACCCACTGTAGGAATTTATTAAGAGAGAGGACACTTGCAGAGGCAGAGGAAGTTGGACCAGGGAGAGAGCAGGGAGGGGGTGTGTCCTGCTTTTAAAGGCTGCCTAGCACATGCGCACCGGGGCTCACGCCTGCGCTCAAGAGCTTGAGGTGGCTATGAAAGTTGCCTGAGCACTTGTTGGTGCATGCGCAGCCCTGGCACCCAGAAGTGCCAGCCAGAGTGCTGGGTGAGGAAAACCATAACTAACCGCCAGTCTTCTGGCATGATTAACCAAGCCTCCTTCCCTAATCATCCCCAAATGTCTGGTTGTGCCTCAGTTTCTCTATTCTGTAGGTGAGAGACATTTGGTTTGCATCTAATTCTCGCTGTGTGTGATTGCAAACAAAGCTGCTATCACCACTTGTCTGAAGGCGTCTGTAGGAATCTGGCAGCTGTCTTCTCAACACCGAGCTTGCTTCAGCTGCTTAGCCTGTTTGTAGAGCTGCTGAAGCAAGGTGCCGAGGCTGGGGAACTTACAGAGAGAAGGGTTTTACTTAGGTCATGGTTCTAGAGGCCGGCAAGTACAAGACCTGGCGAGGATCCCTAGCATATCATAACACGGCTGAAGGTGCCACATGGTTGAACTTGTGTCCCAGTAGCCATTGTTCAAGAGAAAAAGGGTGCTTTTCTAACAGTTCACTCTGATCCCACCCTGTGGGGAAAGGACTCACTTCTGTACGTGTCTTCAATCTGTTTACCAGGCTCTGGCCCCATAATCTAACTGCGTCTCTTAAACTCTGCGCCTCAAGACTGCATTGAAGAATTAATTCTCGCCATGAGTTTTTGTAGGAACTAACTATAGCAACATCTCATGTCCTAACCATTCAAAGTTCTTCAGTTTGAGAGTCTCCCCACCCCCTTTTTTTTGTCCTCTTAGAATCAAGTAACCCTGAGAGGACTGATACCACACCCGGGCCAACATGTCTTTGTCATCCATTTTTATCAAACAGAACACCCAACATTCCCCATAGAGGTCTTTGTGGATGGAGGAAGACCACGGTCAGGTGAGCAGCCTTGATGAGCGGACTCCATGACTTGTTCCCGATGTCATGAGCGGGCTCCATGACATGTGCTTGATGCTGTCCTTGCAGACTTGTGACAGCGTGTCCCACTCCCTCTTCAGGTTCCTTCCTTGCCTCCTTTTGCCCTCATTTACTGGGCTGCCGGAACCAAGTGATCTCCAATGGCCAGGTGGAGTTCGACATCCCAGAAGCAGAGGTAGCTGTGACGGTGAAGGTTCCAGAAGGAAAGTCCTTAACGCTGGTGCGTTCTTCTTAGCCTTCAGTGTGCTCCCTGGTCAGCCATTGTATGTTAGGCTCCTGCCAGTACTGTCTCCTAGGAATTAATTCTGTTTAGTGGAGAAGTTGGTTATTTGTAGAAAAAGTATGTTTTACAAACCCATAAAAATAAAACCACATGACAATCACAGCCAGGAGAATAGGAATGACAGAGACTAAGTGACTGGCCTTTGCCCAGCCTTCGCTTACTCCTTGCCCCTACTGGCCGCTCTGTGAAACTTCTACCCTCCTGGTTACTGTCACTTTCTCATGTCCTCCTTTAGTGATCTTCCTTACCCTGAGCTCCGTATGTCGATGTCCCCAGGATCCACTCTGAGACCCTGTGATGTATCCCTGTGAACATCATCTGTGCCTAGTGCGTCTGTTCCAGCTTTGTGGGAATAGCACCCGTGTCTCTGAACTCACTCTTGATCTTGCCTGAACTCCAGGCCAATAACTGACCACCAGGGGTCTCCTCTGACTTGCCTGACCTTTCTCCAGGGTCTCTCATCTGTTCCTATTAATGAACCTACCTCGTTCTGGTCCAGGTCCTTGCTCTGTTTACCTGCATCTCTTTGGTCCATCCACTTCATTCTGGAGGTCATTCCACCTCACTCTGGAATTAATGGCCCTTACTGCCCGCTTCTAGTTCATCTTTCATCCATGCCTCCTCTGTCCCATGTTCCCCCTTTGCTGCACTAATTGTTATTCTAATTGGTCTTTATAAAAAAAAAAAAAACCCCAGAACCAGATATTGGTGTAAATGCTGAAAGATCAGAGAGAGAGAAAGGAGCAAGTCACAGACAACTCTTACCTTGCTAACGCCTCAGCTGAAAAAGGGTATCCTGTCTCTACAATTCCTCAGACTGAATCCTCTACCTTATATTCCTCTCTCTGCCCAGCCGTACCACTTCCTGTTTCCACTCCCAAGTACTGAGACTAAGGTGTGAGTCACCACTGCTCAGCTTTGTTTCTTTTAGACAGATTCTATCTTGTGTAGCCCAGTGTAGCCTTGAACTCACAGAGATCCATCTGCCTCTGTCTCCTGAGTGCTGGGATTAAAGCTGTGTGCCACCACTGCCTGGCTTTATGGCTACTAGTGTGGCTAACTCCACACTCTGATCTTCAGGCAAGCTGTATTTGTTAAAGCATAAACACAATATCACCACACCCCTTTCATTCTCTGGCCATAGTCATTATTCAAAAGCTCACAGACCTGCCATTTTTGACAATGCCAGCAGGCTTTCTTGTGCTCTTTTCTAGAATCTTCTACCTACTTTTGTACCTGACAAAATCCTGTTGACCAGTGAGCCTGGCTTAGAGTTAATTCAGCATTTCCTTAAGAATGTCTAGAAAGCTAGGAAGAGTTCACTGGGTTCTGCTCTGTGGCCCTCCAGTCTGTGCCTGTGCCTCCTTCTCCTCCTCTTCCTCCTCCTCCTCCTCCTCCTCCTCCTCCTCCTTCTCTCTCTCTCTCTCTCTCTCTCTCTCTCTCTCTCTGTCTCTCTCTCTCTCTCTCTCTCTCTCTCTCTCTCTTTCTCTCAGAGTTAATTCAGCATTTCCTTAAGGATGTCTAGAAAGCTTGGAATAGTTCACTGGGTTCTGCTCTCAAAGCCTGGCTCAGTGACTTACAAACTCCACAAGGCCATGACTCCTAAACCTCCACAGACAGTGCTACCAGCTAGAAATCAAATGCTCAAATACATGAGCTATGCAGGACATTCTCATTTACACCACAAATACTAAATAAACTTCAGAGGAAGGCCACGATAATAGGTTCCCTGTTGGCTCTGCAGCTTTAGTTTGCTTACCTTTAAAATATAAAGCAGTGGCCCCCAGAGAATCAGGAGTCCCACACATGTGTCATGTGATGCCCCAGTCACCCCGACAGGCTCTGCTAGGTACCTTGAACTCACCACCACTCAGCACTGGGGTTCCTTGTTCCTTGGAGCAGATGCTTCCAGAGTCCTGCTTGTGCCCACTGTTCCCTAGCAACTGCACTGAGTCTTTACCCCACCTCAGGTTTGCTGCTGTGCTTGCTTTGTAAATCTTGCTGGCATTTGGATAAACAGGAAAGGATGTGGGCTCATTCTCTTCCTCCTTCTCTGGCCTTGGCTTTCCTTTAGGTCCGTGTTCTAGTGGTGCCGGCGGAGAATTATGACTACCAAATACTTCACAGAACATCAGTGGACAAGTCCTTTGAGTTCATCAGCAATTGTGGAGGAGAGAGTTTTTATATTGAGTGAGTGTCGTTTTGTGGGAGGGCTCTGGCATGATTGTATCCCAAGCTGGAGGTCTGGAAAGAGTCTGGCCTGGAGTCGGCCTCTCCCCACCACCCAGGAGAGCAGTGGGGCTGGTGTCTCAGGAAGGTGATGCCGTTCACTGTGCCCACCACTCAGTGAGAGACCTCGACATGTACCATCTGAGCAAGGTGACCACAATCAACCTTGAACTCAGCAGAGGCCTACCCTCACCTCGGGATTAGGGACCAATTAGGAGAATCTCTTGCACCTTGCTAATTCCTACTGGCTGCTGTATATACTGAAAGATCCTACCCAGGGCCCCTTCCCTGGCAATCACCTCTGTGATGGGGACTGTCCAGAGCCGTGTCCTTGTGCCCTGTCTTCTCTCATCCCTAGGTGCTAAGAGCACAAAGCCCCACTACCGGCTCTGCTGTGAATCCAGTGCCCCTTAGAAGCTTCTAGAAGGAGCCAGGAGCTCCAGAGGTCCTGAAGACGGGCTCTTCTTGTACAGTGATAGTAAAAGCTAAGGCCCCACATCTCATCTGCTCCACACCACTCATTCTCGGGAATGACCACAGCTAAGGTCCCTTATCTGGGAGATGACCGGCCTGGCTGGACGACTGTGAGGCTCAGTAGCTGACAGTTCTCAGCTCATCATCCCGTCTCCATTATCTTTCCACACCGCAGCTCGTCCTGCAGCTGCTTCACACCAGGTTCCCACTGGCCATTCCTGTGATGCCTTCTCCTCGAGCAGTCCTTGGGGACAGGGTGCTGTCACTGGCTGAAACCACAGTGGGGCCATTTTTCACTTCTTCCCAAACTCTAGTGCTCAACGCCCCACCCACAAAGATGCTGCCAGGTGGACCCAGTTGGAAAGGGAAGTTGAGGAAAGACGCATATCCTAGGTTATCACTATGAATGGTTCTGTTTTCACAGTCCCCAGGCAGCCTCTGGATTCTGTAAAAATGCGGCAAGGTCCCTGGTAGCCTTTTACCATAACGGTGCTCTGCCTTGTGACTGTCACCCTGCTGGGGCTGCCGGCCAGCACTGCAATCCTGAGGGCGGACAGTGCCCTTGCCGGCCCAACGTCATCGGGAGGCAGTGTACGCGCTGTGCAACAGGCCACTATGGATTTCCACACTGCAAGCGTAAGTGACACTGTATTCCTTATAAACATGCAGGCTAGCTCATGCCCCATGTCTACACACTGTGGTCTGAGCGGCAAGGCTCAAGGGCTTAACATAAATGTGAGTGTATACTTATCATATGGATAACTTGCTCCCTTTCCTCTCAAAAGTCCTTTTCAGGTTGTGTGATCCAATGAAAACTTGGTTCAGAAAGGACATTCAAAGTCTCATGGGTGTATACTCATTAAATTAGGAACCCTCGTGTTTTTACTTAAGAGCTACCCTGTGGTCCGATGCCTGGCTCAGCCCATGCCGCCAGTGGCAGTGAGAGCTACAGGTGTGCGGAGCACCACGGGACACTCTGTCTGAACAAACAAGAATGTCACTGCTGTAGACTGTGCTGACCATGGGCCCGGGACCTGCAGGGCTTTGGGAGGCTGTGGAATGTCGTTCCCTACTTGGAGGCTCATGTTGGAATGGGATGCCAGCAGCCTGGTAGGTTTGTGGAGTGTCTAGCCTAGAGCCAGTTAGTCCAGCTGCTCCTCACTTGGGGGCCGCACACTGTTTTCTCCTGGGAGCCTTGGTTTGACTGACTTAGATCAGCATGGACACCCACACAAGGGGAAAGAAAACATGTTCCCAAACTCCACGGGAACTCCAGGAAATCCCAGTTCTGTATAGTCCAACTCTTATGCAGTGTCTCTTTGTCCCTCGGCAGCTTGCAACTGTGGCAGACGCCTTTGTGAAGAGGTGACGGGGAAGTGCCTCTGTCCACCCCGCACAGTCAGACCCCAGTGTGAAGTCTGTGAGGTGAATGCCTTCAACTTCCACCCCCTGGCTGGCTGTGAAGCCTGCAACTGCTCCAGGAAAGGCACTGTCGAGGCGGCCTTTTCTGAGTGTGACAGGAACAGCGGGCAGTGCAGGTGAGTCATGGCACACCAGTGTGCCAGATCCTGTCATATGGGCACAGCCTGGTCATTCCCATTCCTCACTTCCCACCTGTGCACAGTGATGGCATCAGGATGGAGCCTCTCGGAAAGAATGGACTTTGGTGGGTAAATTGCTTTGTCCATCCAGATTTAGGGCAGCCAGGCAGAGCCCCAGGTGGTAGGCTACCAGTTACCAGCCTTGCCCACATACCCAACCACATTGTCACAATAGGATTGTGCTATGTGTGTGCCAGGATTCCACTGTCTTGATGGTTGGCTTTGTTTGTCCATTGGCATAATGTAGAGTTGTCTGGAAAGGGGTCTCCACTTGGTCTAGACAGTCCTTTTCCATGTGACTCTCGACTGTGTCAAGTTGACACAATTAGCCATCACAGGCCTTCAAAGCAGGGTTTATTGGTTGTGGGGAACCAGGCAGGGTTGGCCATCTTCAGGAACCACTGTGGTCCAGCGCACGATGGATGAGAAATGGTGACTGTATTAGTTATTTGTTCCTGTTGCTGTGTTACAATGCCCTGACAAGAGTAAGTAAAAAGAGAAAGGGGTTAACAGAATCTGGTCCATTATGCTGGGGAAGGCTCTTAAATGATCTAATCCTATACATCTGTAGCCAGGAAACAGGGCTGAGGAATTCCACTACTCAGCCTGCTCTCTCCTTTTTATCCAATACTAAGGATTTCAACCAGTATGTGTGTTATAAGGACACCAATCGGACCGGCTTAGTAGCCAGCAAATCCTATGATAGCTCCATCTTAATTATATCTACGAAGATGTATTTTCATGTTCACACCTTGGGTGTACACGGCTCAACTCTCCATTATAGCAATGGTTCGCTCTCCAAGGAAGAACCCTTCCCCATACCTTCATCAGTTGTCTGGCGCCTGCCAGCTCCTGTGGGTAGGGAGGCATTGTATGGAAGTTGAGAGAAGAGCGAGTCATGGAGCATCCTAAGACTTTGAAACCACAACCATTAGGCCTGCCTGAGTCAACTAACCAGTCAGCGACCAGGCATGGGCCTCCTAGTGATGTCTGGGCTTAATCACAGGAAGCAACGAGTGAAGGAGCTGAGAAGTGGCCATAGAATTGATGTTCAGACAGCTCAGTCGAAAACCTCCCCACTGGCGAGAAGAACCCCAGGGTTTCCCAGGACTGCTGACACAACCAGGAAGGAGGGATTTGAGAACCCTTAACACCAGTTAAAGCAGCAGGAGACAATAGATGGGTATGCTGAGCACAGCATTTTAGGAAAATATCCTGAGGAATTTTAACAACCCACGGCCAGCAATGGTAGTTTAACTGACTAGAAGTTTCTTAACTTGGGAGCGAGGGATATCTCACAGCTCTGGCTGGCAAAGGGACCTCACTGATGGGTGTCATGCTTAGATAAATATGAAGCTGCTCTCTTTGACAACGTCACGTGATGGAAACATTACAATGTATGATCAAATGGCTTTGTCCTAGCAGAGTCCTTAGAGGTAGCATTAAAAAACAAAACAACTTTAGCAGTTCCCTATACACTGTAAATTGCACAAATTCCCATGTTTATACAGAAAAACCATTTAATTGCTTAAAATAGTAATTTATTTACAAAAATTTTCTTCATGAATTTTTTGTATGTATTTGTGTGTATGGTGTTTATATGATGTTTTCTGGCAAGTGTGGGCACATATGTGTATGTGACCAAAACTCAACCTCAAGTTCCTTCTGCGGTCACCGTCCACATTAGTTTTGGAGATCCCATCTGTTACTGAGCCTGAAGCTTAGCCATGGGGCTAGGCTGGCCACCCGTGTGTCCTGAGGTCCATTTGTCTCCACTCCTGGCTTCTGAGGGTGCTGGGGATCTGAACTCGGGATTTCTTGCTAACTTTACCCACTGAACCATCTCCCCACTCTCGTAAAAGACTTTTGTGTGAAAGCTGCTTCCCTGTGCAGTGGAGATTTCCGGATGGCAGCAGGGACGATGGTGTGTAATGGCACCCAGAGCGTGAGTAAGAGAATGGTTAGTGACCCCTGGTGTTTGCACTAAGGGAAGACACAGCCTTTCTCAGCAGCACAGGGCTTGCTGAGAGCTGAACCAGTGTGGAAACACAAACCACAGCACTTAAAAATTAACACTTAAAAGATTAGCATTTTTTGTTGTATTTCCTGCTGACACTGTAAAGTTTGTCCTTCCTGCCAAGCCGAGCCATTACAGATGTTACTCTGCTTTAAAATTATTGTAAATGACTGTAAGCATCCACAATTCTTTGCTTTATGTCTAAAAGCCACTTATGAGTGAGTTCGTGTGATATTTGTCTTTCTGGGTCTGGGTTACCTCACTCAATATGATGTTTTCTGGATCCATCCATTTGCCTGCAAATTTCAAGATGTCATTATTTTTTCTGCTGTGTAGTACTCCATTGTGTAAATATACCACATTTTCCTTATCCATTCTTTGGTGTAGGGGCATTTAGATTGTTTCCAGGTTCTGGCTATGACAAACAATGCTGCTATGAAAATAGTTGAGCACATGTCCTTGTGGCATGATTGAGCATCCTTTGGGTATATACCCAAAAGTGGTATTACTGGGTCTTGAGGAAGGTTGTTTCCTAATTTTCTGAGAAATTGCCACACTGACATCCAAAGGGGTTGTACCAGCTCTATTTCCACCAGCAATGCAAAAGTGCTCCCTTTACCCCACAACCTCTCCAGTGTAAGTTATCATCAGTGTTTTTGATCTTGGTTATTCTTAAAGGTGTAAGATGGAATTTCAGAGTTGTTTTGATTTGCTTTTCTCTGATGGCTAAGGATGTTGAACGTTTCCTTAAGTGTCTTTCAGCCATTTTAGAGTCCTCTGTTTAGAGTTCTCCATTTAGGTCTGTACCCCATTTTTTTATTAGATTATTTGCTTTTTTTTTTTTGATGACCAAATTCTTGAGTTCTTTGTATATTTTGGAGATCAGCCCCTATGTCTGATGTGGGGTTGGTGAAGATCTTTTCCCAATCTGTAGGCTGTCTTTTTGTCTTGTTGACTGTGTCCTTTGCTTTACAGAAACTTTTCAGTTTCAGGAGGCCCCATTTATTAATTGTTTCTCTCAGTGTCTGTGCTGCTGGGGTTCCATTTAGGAAGTGGTGCCAATGCTTTCAAGTGTACTTCCCACTTTCTCTTCTATAAGGTTCAGTGTGGGCTTTATGTTGAGGTCTTTGATCCATTTGGACTTGAGACTTGAGTTCTGATAGAGTAACTGGTGAACAGACACAGGACAGCTCGCCCTGCCATCCTGGATGCCAGTTTCCAGTGCGTTAAGAAACTTAGCAAAATCATCACTGACCTTGCTTCTAAGTTTAAACCTCTGATCTTATTTTCTTGCTCCGTCTCGGATGGCATCCAGACAACACTGTGTCAGCTCTAGGTGTCTATCTAGCCAACCCCAGAGACTGAAGTTCTGACCGTGGGCCGCTAAAACACAGTTCCGCTTTTTGTGTGGATTTAATAAAATAGAATAGTAGAAGAAATAAGAATTACCTGCTTTCAGTAATGGAAAATGAATACTATTTGACTCTTGAAATGCTTCCAGGGATTATAATAGCCTTAGGAGGATTATAATAGCCTTATAATCTGTGGCACAAACAAGGAAGCTGGGACCACTGCTGGTAGAAACTGCCTGCTGGGACTCCCCCTCAGGCTGTTTGTTTTATGGGACTCACCCTCAGGCTGGCTTAAAGTCTCAGACACAGAGTCCCCGCCTCATCCCCACTGGCTGTCATCATTGCTTCACTACAAATGAGCCCATGTGGACTCTCCCACCAGCTTCACTTAGGACCACGTCTCCTGAGTCCCGGGGCTCCTGTCCTCTCGGATATATAATGGAAACACTTTTTAAGATTTGATTTGATTTGTTTGTGTATAGATGTATATATCTATGTCAGTATGGGTATATGTACATATGTGTGTTCAGGGGCCCTTGGAGGCCAGAAGAGGGTATTGGATCCCTTGGAGCTGGAGTTACAGGTATTCGTGATGTAGGTGCTGGGAACAGAACTCCAGTAATTATGACTGAACAGTAAATGCTCATAACCACTGAGCTGGTTCTACAGCCCCCAATGAAATAATATTTTTAAACTTTTTATTGATTCTTTGTGAATTTCACATCATGCACCCCAATCCCATTCATCTCCCTGTCCCTCCTTATCTCTGTATCCACCCTCTACCCTTGCAACCTCCCTCACCAAAAGAAAACAAACAGTGTCACCATGGTAGCTGTGGTGTGTCACAGTATAGCGTTTACCAGTTTTCCTTGCAAGTATTCATTGCAATGAGTCATCGGCCTGGTCAGAGGCCTCTGCTGCACCATCAATACTGAATCCTCGCCCGTGTCATGGAGGTCCTGCAGCTTTGGGTCTCAGGACCAGTCCCTCCATGTGCTGATGGGGTAGATGTTGGGTGGGCCAATTTAAAGTCCTGGATCTGGGACTGGGTGGTAGCTGAGTTAGTCAGCCCTCCCACTCTCCTGCACCCTCACCACCAGGAACAATTCTATTGTGTTGCCTAGGCAAGGAGTGGGACCAGCTCACCTGCTCTCACCACTTTGGGGCCAGTTCTCTCACACTGCCCAGGTGAGGGGTGGGGCCAGTTTCCGGTGCTCATGCCCTCTGGGACAGTTCTCCTACACTCCAGTCACCAGGGCCAGCTCTACTATGCTGCCCAGGCAAGGGTGGGGCCAACTCTGCACAGCCCTCAGACATTAGCATTGCCTCAGGTAGCAGCCCAGACCAGACATTGCTACCACAGGGCCACAGACCCAGACACGGTCCTCAGTTGAAGCATGGGCCAGGACCTCACCATGGCCTCAGGGGGCAGTGCAGGCTCTTCCTCGCCCTAGTATCTCCAGTTCTGCCTCTCTTCAAGTGCACAAATGGTTTCACTTCTTTCTTTCCCGACTTCCCACCACACGCTTGTTCCTCATAGTGGTGTCTGCCCTGCCTGTGGCATGTGG